GAGGCGGTTGGAGGATGGATGGCAGCTAACAGATTGAGGTTGAATCCTGACAAGACAGAAGTACTGTTTTTGGGGGACAGGGAGCGGATTGGTGTGGGGGATTCCCTGGTCTTGAATGGGGTAACTGTGCCCCTGAAGGACCAGGTGCGCAGCCTGGGAGTCATTTTGGACTCACAGCTGTCCATGGAGGCGCAGGTTAACTCTATGTCCAGGGTAGCTGTCTACCAGCTCCACCTGGTACGTAGGCTAAGACCCTACCTGCCCGCGAACTGTCTCGCCAGAGTGGTGCATGCTCTAGTTATCTCACGCTTGGACTACTGCAACACGCTCTACGTGGGGCTACCTTTGAAGGTGACCCGGAAACTGCAATTAATCCAGAATGGGGCAGCTAGACTGGTGACTGGGTGTGGCCGCCGGGACCACATAACACCGGTTCTGAGAGATCTGCATTGGCTCCCAGTACGTTTCCGAGCACGATTCAAAGTCTTGGTGCTGACCTTTAAAGCCCTAAACAGCTTCGGTCCTGTATACCTGAAGGAGCGTCTCCACCCCCATCGTTCAGCCCGGACACTGAGATCCAGCGCCGAGGACCTTCTGGCGGTTCCCTCATTGCAAGAAGTGAGGCTACAGGGAACCAGACAGGGGGCCTTCTCAGTAGTGGCGCCCACCCTGTGGAACACCCTCCCATCAGATGTCAAAGAGATAAATAATTACCTGACATTCAGAAGACATCTTAAGGCAGCCCTGTTCAGGGAAGTTTTTAATATGTAACGCTGTACTGTTTTTAACACTGATTGGGAGCCGCCCAGAGTGGCTGGGGAAACTCAGCCAGATGGGCGGGGTATAAATAATAAATTATTATTATTATTATTATTATTATTATTATTATTATTATTATTATTATTAAGCTCTTTCTGGATTGTACCACTGGTTGATAGTATTCCTATGAAAATAGTTCACTGCACATAGAAAGCTAGCATATGAGGGACAGGGTTAGGCTGGAATTATTGCCCCCGGACACTCAGGTTATTGAAGTATTTTGCCTATATGTATGTCTTTTTTAAGGGGAAGTAAACTGTGTGGTTATGCATAGAAAATTCAGCTGAGATATGCACATTCCCCAAGACCTGTTGAGTATTACCGGTATGTAGATAGATTGCGAAATGTGCACAATTCCCTCTTCACAGAAGGGTTATGTATACATTTTCCATGAAGCATGGTGAATGTACACAGTGCCTGCTTGTTATGCCCATTAACTGCTCAACTTACATTACACAGACACACACATAAATATATGTATTGGCAAAGCATTCTGTACTCTGACCTGCCATGGAACAATCGTGAGATAGTTATCGCTAAATCTGAAGACCCACATGTGGGTCTGTCAGCTGCTCAGACAGCTAAGATATAAATGCCACAAACGCACCTGCCCTTTCTGTGAACTATGTGTTGGTTGTGAAATGCAAAACAGCTTTTCACGTGAATTGTCATTATAGAAAGGGTTTTTCTGCAAAGGATATGCATGCAGTCAGTAATGGTATCCATCTGGTTAGCTGTTGCATATGTTGCAGCTGCCACGGATGACTGAAAAGTTTCTGCCAAATCACTAGTTGAACCCTTCCCCTGATGTGTGATGCTTTATGTTAGGGATGGAGAACCTGTGGCTCTCCAGATGCTGTGGGACTCTAACCTCCACAATCTCCAGCCAGCATAGCCAATGGTCAAGAATGATGGGAATGGCCATCAAGTCACATCTGGAGAGCCACAGGTTCTCCATCCTTGCTTTATGCATTAAATTGTAACCCAAACTACATATCAATACCTCTACAAATCTGTGTGTTTCTTTCAATGAGGGTGTGCCAGAAGTGAGCTAAAGGCTAGAACAGACTTCTGGCTGATGATGAAAATGCACCTTGAAACATAGGCCTAGATCAGCTGCAAGTGGCGTAGCTGGTAAATTCCACAGAAATAGTCAAGGATGAGTCAAGAGTGTCTGCTCTCTTTGCAACCAAGAGTGTGACTCTTTGGGTGTGACTCAGTTCTGGCACCTGTTTAATATAGGATTCTGCCCAACTCCCAGGGGTGTGGTTGCAGTAATGAATACCTGTGAAGAGGCAGCAGGTGTTCCCATTGCTTAGATTCAAGCAGTGCTGCTCTGTGCTTTCGGTGCTGGAGATCAGCCTTGGAGCATACAAACAAGAATGCTTCCACAACACTGGCCTGGGTCACACTGCACGTTGAGCCATACCGTAGCTTGATGGGATTGTGTGAATCTGCAAGCTCCTGGAGAGTTCATAGGCTCTTTGCTTCTTCCTGGCCTTTCTCTCTGTCGTGCTGCACTGAGCTAAGCCAAGGTTTAGCATAGCATGCCTTCTGAACTGGGTCTCATGGTTAATCTCTCTCTCATTAACCAAGGTTTGTTCTTGGCCGTAGCTTATGGTGAGTGAGGGGAGAGTTTAGCACACTAAAAAAAGACACACTGAATCATGGCTTAGCATAGCACAGCGTGAGAGCGAAAAGGATAAAGGGGGCAGCAAAGCAGCAGTGAGCTCCTCACTGGGAGCCTGCCCATATGCAAAGTCCTGGTAAGCGTAATTCAGAGCTTTCCAAACTGTGCATTGAGACACGTTCGTGTGTTGGCTGTAGTGTGTAGGTATGTTGCATGAATGCTCCCAGTGTTCCTCCTGGGGGTGGCAAAGGGTTAGTTCAACCTCCGGTTTGCTAGTAAAACTGAATTACTGTGTCGCGAAATGATACATGTCTAAAAAAAAATGTGTCACCAACATGAAAAGTTTGGAAAGCTCTGGCCTAATTACTATGTGATGTGAACCATGCAGTTAAATCACGGAATAAACAGCTTCAGGTCCCTTGTCAGCTATGAAGTGCACTGGGTGAGTGTCAGTGCCTCTGCCCATGTGTAAAATACCTTTCCCTTACCACTGTTTATGTTTAACTGAACAACCTGAACGTGTCAATACATGTGATGGAATCCCATGTGAAAATAGTGACAATCTGGAAGTGCCCAGTGTGGGTCAAGGTGATGGAATAATAATGGGTTTACCAGCTCTTAGCTTCTTTAGGTATTGAATGATGAACAGTAACTCAGCAGCCACTTCTGTGGAGTTAATGCTGCTTGCATAGTTTCCATGTGGGGTGACAGCACATCAGAGAAATGGAAGATGCTTCTCCAAAGACAGTCCTACCCACCCCCACATCACTGCTGCTGGTCTTCCTGTAAATAAGTTCCCAGTGTTACAGAAGTCTTGTCACTCTGCAGGTATCTTGTGCCCTTCCCTGGGGTTTCTGGCTCACAATTCATGTTTGCTTATTGTTGATTTGCATAATCTATTTTGAAAGCCAAATGGTATTTCCTGGGAGCAGTATTTGGAACTGGGTGTGACCAAAGCCCTGAGCAGAGCCTCTTTCCATTTGAATGAGACTGCCTAGCCAGTTCTGAATGAGGAAATTCAGAACACATTTCTCCCTATCTAGAGTCCCCTTTGAAAAGTAAAGAATAAAAAGGAAAGTGGCCATCCTAGTAGGTGAGCTGATTTCAAAATTTACAAATGTTTTTCATCTGTATGTGCAGGAAGACCTGTTGCGTTTCCAGCAGGAAACAGCTGGATTCTTTTTTTAAAAAAAAAACAAACAAAAGCTTGTGCTACACAAAAGATACAGATCAGCCATTGATCTTTAGCCATACCTTTACATGAACCTCTGGCTTTGTTTGTGTGGTTGTTGTATAAATATTTAGCACAGCAACAGCCACCAGTGACCTTGGAATGGTAAGGCAAATTAAATGAAGGGTAGTTTGCTGGACCAACAGTTCGTGATTGGCTGCTGGCCTGATTTGGTCAAAGGGCTGCCATTGTACATGCCTGGTCTGTACAATGTGGCTGCTTGCACATTTTCCAGCTATGTTCAGCAGATGATGAGAGACACATACTTGCCATTGCAGAACAAGCCAAAACCTCTGCATCAGGACATTCTTTCCCCATTTCAACAGAGCTACTACTTAGGCTATTTCGGGCCTGAATATCTAGCGCTCTTACCTCTTTGGCAGCAGCTGACCGAACACCTGCCCTGAGCAATCTGTGTCTAACCATCTCATCTCTGCCATCTCCCAGTGTGTGCCTCTTGCCCCAGCTGACACTCTGTAAACTATCTGAGCAGCTCCAGTTTCAACACATTGCAGAGAAGAATGAGCAGCCAGTTAGCACCAAGTTAATAATAAATATAAATAAATTTTTATTTATACCCCACCCTTCCCGGTTCAGAAAACCGGGCTCAGGGTGGCTAACAACAAATTTAAAACACTTAATTGATGCAACAAAAACTAACATAAAATACAGTATAAAACGTGAATACCAGTAAATTCAGAATTCAAATATCAGTTTAAGAAAATCCATCCAATAAACATTAGATGATCACCAGGGCTAGCTGGCTAAATTAGTCCTATTTGGGCCAGTGAAGAAACCAGGGGAGAATTAGCTGTGGGATCCCAGAGTGTGTAATCTTCATAAAAAGGGGAGGGGGAAGGAAGGAAGGAAGGGAAATAAAAGATCAGGCTAAGTTCAAATTGAAAGCCAGACGGAATAGCTCTGTCTTACAGGCCCTGCAGAAGGAAGTTAAATCCTACAGGGCCCTGGTCTCATGGGACAGAGCATTCCACCAGGTCAGAGCCATCAATGAGAAGGCCCTGGCCCTGGTGGAGGATAATCTGACTTCCTTAGGGCCCGAGACCTCTAAACTATGATTATTCATGGACCTTAAGGTCCTCTGTGAGGCATACCGGGAGAGGTGGTCCCGTAAATACGAGGGCCCTAAGCCACAAAGTTACTACTAATGTTGCTCCTAAGTGAGCTCCAATGGGCTAGTAACTTTTGTGGGCTTAATTGCAAGGCAGAAGTACACCGAGGTGTGACAATAATTGTGCAGTGAACACTTATTGGGCTGATTCTGTGTGCTCACTCTTTGGCCTTCCTTCCTACCTCTTTTAGCAGTCCTGATGTGCATCTGCTTGGTGTCGGTCACCTATGGAGCTTTGGTCTGCAACGTCCTGGCCATCCAGATCAAGTATGACGACTACAAGATCCGCCTGCACCCGCTGGCCTTCATCTGCATCATCCTGTGGCGTAGCCTGGAGATCTCCACCCGCATCACCATCTTGGTCCTCTTTGGGAGTGTCTTCAAGTACTATGCCATGGGCATTGGTGGGGCCAACTTCCTGCTCTTCTTCTTCTTGCCCTGGGTGCAGTTTTGGTGGAGTGGTGCCCAGCTGCCTGACAATGTGGAGAAGAACTTCAGCCGGGTGGGCACCCTCTCGGTCCTGTTCTCCATCACTTTGCTTTACGCTGGCATCAATATCTTCTGCTGGTCAGCCGTGCAGCTCAGGCTGGGTGACCGGGAATTGATTGCCAAGTCACAAAACTGGGGATGCTTGGCTCTCTTCTATGTGTTCCGAGGGCTGGAGAACAGTGTGCTGCTTGTCGTCTGGTACTTCTTTATGACGGACGTCTACGCGTACTTCTGTGCCCCCTTTCTGGTGCTGCAGCTGATTGTAGCCTACTGCTTGGCTATCGCCTTCATGCTCTTCTTCATGCAGTATCTCCACCCCTGCCGCAGCCTCTTTACGCACAACGTCTCTGACTTCTTGCAGTGCGTCTGCTGTAAGCGGGACGAAGCACCTGAACCCCTGGACCTTGAGCCTCCCTGGGAGCCTGGCGTGAAGCATAGCATTGTCTGATGGGACATAAGTCAAACTCAAATCATAAATCATTCTGCTGAAGGTGGAACAGAAACTATATCCTAACATCCCAACAGGGGCATACCCCATACCTGGCCTCAGCAGGTATAATTTATCAACAAGGGAGCAATGCAGGGAGTCATAGTGGCAGGACTGGTCCTTCCAGAGCATCATCTGAACTGACAGATCAAATTGGGATGGGCAATAAGGGGAGCAATTTCAATTTCCTTATCTGCCTGCAGAGCCTGGAGTAGTCTGCATTGCACACCAATACAGCAGGGTCAGTTATTACGTTCAGAAGGACTGTGTTGTCATTTCTAGATGATAACCATTGACTGATGTTATGTCAGATGTTTGAAGAAGAAGAAAAAGCCTAGTTGAAGGATAGTCAATTGGGTTGAACTCACGGTTAGCTTAAGTAAGGGGAGAACCTTTGGAAGGGTGGTTAATGGGTCTTGCTGCGGCAGCCATCTGTTTACACCACTGCATCCACATGGGCACCATGGTCTGTCTTCAGATGGATAGAATTGTGGCCCCACATTTTCAAGGATAGTCCTGACAGTCGTGACAGCTGAGGCTCTAAGACTTGGTTGTCCTTCAGCACCATTGGTGCTCCTCCCCCATTTGTAGTTCTGTGTTTATTTATATGTTGAGCTGAGAATAGACATTTTTAAGTGCTTTTTTTCATTTTAAAGGAATTTGGCCTCTTTTTATACTCAATTTAAACACAATTTAGGTTCCTTCAGAACTTCTGGATTTCTGTTGTTTAGTATCTTGACTGCAGCTGTTTTCCAGTTACCTATGTTTGGGTGACATGAAACATTTATTTTCTTTTTTTAAAAAAACTTCTTTTCTTGCTCAAGACCTGGTGGGCCTTGTTCAAATATATGTTATTTAAATTCTCTTAATGGCCTGTGAATTTCCTTTTCCACAAATAAAGTACCTTTATTTATTAGTTATATGTGTTATATGGGCAATGGTGTGCCTGCCAATGCTTTCTGTGGAGCTTGTGAAAGGTCTCAGTAAATAACCCTTCCAAAAATTCACAACACACAAGAGACCATTTGCTCTTCCTGCTTGCTTCCTGCTTGCACTGACTCAGCCTTTCCTACCTTGAACACAACTCCTTCATTGGATGCAAGGACTGGACACCCACCTTCCCTTCCATTCTGAACTGAGTAGAGGAGCAAAATGCTTCTCTGTGTGTAAACACTGCAGTGGGCAATGGATGTGCACTTTCAGAAGTGGCAGCCACTTTGCGTTTATGCCATTCCACCACCACCCCACTCCCCATAGCTATTTTGTGACTGCTTATCAAAATTCCAAATGTGTGTCCACTGGTCCCAAAAGTTTGCTGACTCTTAAGGATTGCAGTAGAGAATAAAAAATTGGTTGCAGAGAGGATCTGGACACCTCATCCATCATGATTTTGAACTGAAGCTTCTCTCTTTCTCATACAACACATGGTACAAAGTAAGAACGTATCTCAAGGAAGCCAATTCAATAACTGATAAAGAGTTCCACAGAAACATATCTCTACACCCATGGGTAGAATTTCACAGTCTCCTATCTAGCATGTACCAACATCAGCAATGGAAGACCTAGCCAGAGATAAGAGTTGAGTGCAAACCAGCCCTTAGGAAAATCTTGATCTCAGTTTGCACCTCACAACTTTCTGGTTCTTGATGATTGCTTGCACCAGACTGACAGACCAACAGGGCTGTGAATTCAGAAAACTCTAGGCTCAGGTGTCACATGTGCTATACTCTGCTTTTATGAATGTTTCATAAAAACAACAACAAATATCTCCCCACAGATTTTCTGTTTACCAAGGATTATTTAAATGCAGCACTGGAGACCTTAGCCCAGAGGTTTCCAAACTTCCCACTGTCCGCCAGACACTTGAAAACTACTGTTGGTTTTTGCAAACCACTTAATGATTTTTATGCCTTTTCTAGCAATTATAGGGTTGCCATATTTCAAATAGTGAAAATCTGACAGAAAAGTAGTTGTCAAGCTTTTTTTCTTTTTAGTTTTGCCCAAAGTTGTTGAGCTATTTATGAAAAAAAATCTGCAAAAAACAACCCTGCCAACATGGGTTGCCATACGTCCAGATTTTCCCAGACATTCCATCAATTTCCACTCGGACACTGCCTGTGGCTGCAGTATTCCATGCATGTCTGGTACTTTCCGGACTTCTGGCAACTCTAAGCAATTACAATGTGGTGTGATTTTTTATTTTGTTTTTTATTGATTCTTTTATTGCTTTTATTGCATTTTATTGTATTACACAGTTTGCATTCCTCAGAATTCAAGTTGTAAATCATTAAAATGCAATATAAGCAATAAAAGAAGCAACAAAGATACAATTAAAACTAAGTAATGGATTGTTAATGTGGGCATGTTGCTGACTACCTGAAGAAGGCTTATGCGTCCTTAGACCACAGCTTGGGAACCCCTAATCCAGAGGTTTTAGGGTGGCACTGTGGTCTAAACCACAGAGCCTAGGGGTTGCCAATCGGAAGGTCGGCAGTTCGAATCCCCTTGACGGGGTGAGCTCCCGTTGTTCAGTCCCAGCTCCTGCCAACCTAGCAGTTCAAAAGCATACCACTGCAAGTAGATAAATACGTACCGCTCCGGCGGGGAAGGTAAACGGTGTTTCTGTGTGCTGCTCTGGTTCGCCAGAAGTGGCTTAGTCATGCTGGCCACATGACCCGGAAGCTGTCTGCGGAAAAATGCCGGCTCCCTCGGCCTATAGAGTGAGATGAGCGCACAACCTCAGAGTCGTTTGCGACTGGACCTAACCTTTACCTAATGGAGACATAGACAGGGGTGGGGACAAATTGGTCAAGTGTTGCAGCAAGAAATGTTACAATATGCATTCTATGCAATCACTTTTAATAATAATAATAATAATAATAATAATAATAATAATAATAATAATAATAAATGTGGGCATGTTGCTGACTACCTGAAGAAGGCTTATGCAGAACATGGGCCTAGCAGCCCCTAGCCCTTTACCCCAGATAGCAGTTGTAAAATACAGCTTTTTCAGACTGGAAGGGGAAGATAACATGTTGGAGATGTACACGCACATAGAAAGTCAAGGAAAAGGCTAGAGTAGATTACAGTGGTACCTCGGGTCACAGACGCTTCAGTTTACAGACTCCGCTAACCCAGAAATAGTACCTCAGGTTAAGAACTTTACCTCAGAATGAGAAGAAGAAATTGCGCAGCGGCAGTGGGAGGCCCCATTAGCTAAAGTGGTACCTCAGGTTAAGAATAGTTTCAGGTTAAGAACGGACCTCCAGAACGAATTAAGTTCTTAACCTGAGGTACCACTGTATTAATCTATCGATCTGCTGCTGCTGCTGCTCTGGTGAGTGCTGGGAAAACTGCTCCCTCTCCTGCCAACTCCATCTGGCCTAGGGGGCGGGGCCTGCACTCACCACTACAGTTTAGAGGCCTGAGCAGCTACCTGCAGCAAGTGGCAAAAATGGTTTTAAATGTTTTAAGTGCTTTTAATTTGCTGCACCTTAAATGGTGGTTATTGTTTTTTTATAATATATTATTTTATTATTTTATTTCTGCTTGGGGTGGGATAAGTATTTAGTCAGGGTGGGGAGCAATTTAATTTAACATAATTGTTTCTTGTTTTGTTTTTATTTTTTTTAATTCTGTTAAGTTACTATATAGTATTTTGCCTTTTAAGGGGAGGGGTCATGGCTGCCTGGGAGTGGGCCTCAGCCAACAGAATGGCTGGGGCAGGTTCCACGGGGGGGAGGTATTGGAACACCCGATCTCAGTGATCACGGGCAGGAGGAGGAGTTGTGCTAAGACCAGACCATGTCATTACCGAGGAGGCAGGTTTAGACTATCCCTGCCTCCAGGTCTGGTCCTGACCGGAAGGATACTGGAATCAGCAAGGGAAACCCACATGACCTGAAAGTGTTGCTGTGCAATGCCAGGTCAATGATGAATAAAACCACTGCCATCCATGACCTGATTGTGGATGGAGGATTTGAGCTGGCATGTGTGACAGAGACCTGGTTGGATGAAGCAGATGGGCCTGTCCTTGCCGCTGCTTGCCCACCAGGTTTCTCTTACGCACAGTAACCCAGGTCATGTGGGCGGGGAGGGGGGGTTGCAGTGATTTTTAGGAAGTCTTTAGTCTGCACCAGGTGTCCTATTGGGAAGACCTAGTTTTCTGAGTGCATGTTCTGGAAGTTGGGCAATAGGGGCAGTACAGGATTCCTTTTGGTGTACCGACTTCCCCGCTGCACCAAGGATTCCCTGCCCGAGCTGCTTCGGGTTGTGACGGATATGCTCCTGGAGACACCTAGCTTGGTTGTCCTAGGGGATTTTAACATCCATGCCGACATGACCTTACAAGGGGCCGCTCAGGACTTCGTAGAAAGCATGGCCTCCATGGGGCTGTCCCTGAATAAGTTTGGCCCAACTCATAGCCGCGGACATGCCTTAGACTTGGTGTTTACCTCTACGGATGTTGATGATCTGACACTAACTAAAAGTGAAACAAAAGAAGTGCCATGGTCAGATCACTTCCTGGTGCAACTGGACTTCTCCGCGACCCTTCCCCTCTGCAGGGAGGTGGGACTGATTCGGATGGTCCACCCCCGCTACTTAATGGACCCAATTGGCTTCCAGTGAGCAGTAGGGGATGTTTTATCCCAAGTTGATGGCCTTTCAGCTGAGTCCCTGGTGGCCCGCTGGAATACGGAGTTAACCAGGGCTATTGACTGTCTGGCTCTGAAGCGCCCTCTCCGATTGCATGGAGCCCAGACAGCCCCATGGTTTTCCTTGGAGCTGAGGGCGATGAAACAATCACTGAGACGGCTAGAGCGCCAGTAGCGGAAAACTCATTCTGAATTAGACCGGAGACAGGCTAGAGCTCAACGTCAAGCCTTTGTTGTTGTTGTTGTTTAGTCGTTTAGTCGTGTCCGACTCTTCGTGACCCCATGGACCAGAGCACGCCAGGCACCTCTGTCCTCCACTACCTCCCGCCTACCAAGTGGCAATGGCAACGGCAAAGAGGGCCTTCTTCGCAGCCTCCATTGCATCTGCAGAAAACAGCAGCAGGAGACTTTTTCAGGTGGTTCGCAATCTATTGGAACCACCTGCACCACCGGGGCCTGGTAGGGACCCCAAGATCTCCTGCAATGCTTTTGCAAAGTTTTTTTGCAGATAAAGTCGCTCAGATTCAGAAGGAGGTAGACTCCACCGTGGGATCAGGGCCAGGGCGGGAGAGTGTTAGAGTTCTGTCTAGTCATGTTACATGGGATCAATTCCAATCTGTTACCTCTGAGGATGTGGATAGGCTGCTTGGACGCGTGAAACCAACCACTTGTCTCCTTGATCCTTGCCCATCCTGGTTAATAAAAGCAAGCCTGGAAGGGCTGGGCGATGGACTCTGTGGGGTGGTGAATGCTTCCCTCTGCGAGGGAGCCTTCCCAGACCTGCTGAAAAACAGCTTCTTAAAAAAACATCTTTAGACCTGACCAATATAGCCAACTATCGCCCAGTCTCAAATCTACCATTCTTGGGCAAGATGATTGAACGGGTGGTTGCTGGACAACTCCAAGGACGCCTGGAGGATGCGGACCATTTGGATCCCTTCCAGTCGGGATTCAGGCCTCACCATGCGACTGAAACTGCCTTGGTTGCACTGGTCGATGATCTCTGGTGGGCTAGGGATAAAGGTGAGAGCTGTTTCCTTGGTCTGCTGGATCTCTTAGCGGCCTTTGACACCATCGACCATAACATCCTTCTGGACCGTCTTGAGGAACTGGGAGCGGGGGGAACTGTTATACAGTGGTTCCGCTCCTTTCTCCTGGGCTGTGTCCAGAAAGTGGTGGTGGGGGATGAGTGTTCAGACCCCTGGGGTCTCACTTGTGGGGTGCCTCAGGGTTCTGTCTTCTCCCCCATGCTTTTTAATACCTGTATGAAGCAGCTGGGAGAGATCATCAGGAGGTTTGGGCTGGGTGTTCATCAGTATGCAGATGACACCCAGCTCTACCTCTCTTAAATCAGAACCAGTGAAGGCGGTGAAGGTCCTGTGTGAGTGCCTGGAGGCGGTTGGAGGGTGGATGCCAGCTAACAGATTGAGGTTGAATCCTGACAAGACAGAAGTACTGTTTTTGGGGGACAGGGGGCGGGTGGGTGTGGGGGACTCCCTGGTCCTGAATGGGGTAACTGTGCCCCTGAAGGACCAGGTGCGCAGCCTTGGAGTTATTTTGGACTCACAGCTGTCCATGGAGGCGCAGGTTAATTCTGTGTCCAGGGCGGCTGTCTACCAGCTCCACCTGGTACACAGGCTAAGACCCTACCTGCCCGCGAACTGTCTTGCCAGAGTGGTGCATGCTCTAGTTATCTCCCACTTGGACTACTGCAATGTGCTGTACATGGGGCTACCTTTGAAGGTGACCCAGAAACTGCAATTAATCCAGAATGGGGCAGCTAGACTGGTGACTGGGAGTAGCCGCCGGGACCACATAACACCTGTCCTGAGAGATCTGCATTGGCTCCCAGTACATTTCCGAGCACAATTCAAAGTGTTGGTGCTAACCTTTAAAGCCCTAAACGGCCTTGGTCCTGTATACCTGAAGGAGCATCTCCACCCCCATCATTCAGCCCAGACACTGAGATCCAGCGCTGAGGGCCTTCTAGCGGTTCCCTCATTGCGAGGTTACAGGGAACCAGACAGAGGGCCTTCTCGGTAGTGGCACCCACCCTGTGGAACACCCTCCCTTCAGATGTGAAGGAAATAAGCAGCTATCCTATTTTTAAAAGACATCTGAAGGCAGCCCTGTTCAGGAAAGTTTTTAATATTTAATGCTGTACTGTTTTTAACACTTGATTGGGAGCCGCCCAGAGTGGCTGGGGAAACTCAGCCAGATGGGCGGGGCATAAATAAATAAATAATAATAATAATTACTGGTCTAAGGGAGCAGAACCTGCAGCCTTTAGGAAGATACTGGACTACAACTCTCAAAACTTCTTGGCCGTTGGCCATGCTGTCTGGGGCTAATGACAGTTGGGAGTCTGACGTTTGAAGGCCGCTCTGTTCCCTATCCCTGCGTCATTAAGATAAATATAACACCCCTGATTTAATAAGTACAATAATATATTGCTCATGTTTTATGCTTAGGCTTATCAGCCTTATGCTTATCAAGTGCCTAAAACAGAGAGCAGCAGCACCCAAGGTAGTTTTGGAACGTTAAGTTAGTGTTTTCAGTTTTCTCTGGATTTGAAATGAAACAGATGAAGAGGACCTCTCTTCTCAAAAGATTGGTCCTTGATCCTGTAATGCAGTAAGGCTGGCATAATAGAACTGGGGCCCACATGTTTTCCAGAATGGTATTTTATGGAATCTCGGGTCGACATGGGTTTAGTAAGCGTCTTCAGTCTAAAACTGAGAAGATGCAGAAATCAACCACTAGATGGCAGCTGTGATTTGGTTTAGGCTAGAAGCAGAGAAAGATGCAAGGCCTCAGAGCGGTGCTCAAAATAAGAATAACTGAACTTTTAAAAACAATATAGTTATATCATTACTGAAATGCCCAATGTGTTTGTATTAAAGGTTGCAGAAAGGCCATAGTTCAATGGTAGAGTATCTGATTTGCACATTGAAGTTACAAGGTTCATTCCCTGCATCCTCAGGTAGGTCTGAAAAGATTCTACTGTATGTCTGACATCCTGAAGAGCTGCTGCCAGTCCGTGCAGACGCTACTGACCTAGATGGACCAATTCTCTGACTCAGTAGAAGGCAGTTTCCTCTGTTAACATTCTGCTCTCAAGTGTATTGGGCTTTTTGCTATTATATAGAATTATATTATTTGATAGCTTGATTTTTTTTAAAGCACCGTTTTACAAACTTAGCCCTTCCTCAACTTCTTTTGGTTTTGGGTGCTGCCCCACTTTCCCCACTGTGACCTAGAGCAAAAATGTAGAGCTGAAAAGAAAGTTTGAAATTGTCCAGAATTTCAAGTTTTGCTATTCCTGTTTGGAATGTGAAATATTGAACTCCCAACACTGAAATATGCATTTTGAATTTGAAATTTTACCTCAATATTCAAGTGCTTTATTGACATTGTGTCTCAGCAGATATCAAATATGGAATCTCAAAAGCTGTCAAATCCTAAATGTATGTTGTCTGTCAAATGCTGTCAAGTGCCAAATATTATTTCATGTTAACCATAGTATGCAATCAAACACTAAATATTATCGCATGCCAATCATAAAATATTGTTGAATCATTACACGACAGGTATTAAATATTGTGAAAGGTCAACTACTGAAACAAAATGTTGTAGGATGTCAAATACTTGGCAGATATCCTACTTAAGAAAATGATCTGGAGACTATTTCACAAAAGTGGCAGAGGAAAAATTCTGAGGTTTTTTTTGTTTTGTTTTTTGATAAGTTGGAAGCAACTTTTGGTTCAGCTCTACTAGCTGTACAAGCACTATCTTGCCCAAGGTTCTTCCGGGCAAGAAAAACCATGAAATTTGCAAACAAATCAAACCACAGAAAACAAAACAGCAATGTAAGGCTTTGCTTAGAAGTACTTGCAAGTTCGCTGTCTGAGATGTTGGAGAATTCCATCAGCAATAGAAATGGGAGTAGAAATTACTGCACTTCTATGTTTGCTGGAGGTCAGGAACAGAAATCATGCCAGAAAGTATTAGTAGTATTCACTATCGGGGGAGGGAGGCACCTGCAAATTATGTTTCTTTCTCCATTGTTTGTGGGGAGGTTATACAACAATGAACAGTCATCCTCCCCCCCCAATTAATATTTTTCCGAGCTTAAATATTACATTTTGTCACTCAACAATTGTGTCCAATTCTAGTTGTATCATTTTCTAGTTGTACAACACCCATTTTGAGGTGAGGTGACCATAATAGCATTATGCTAGCAAAAGTTTAATTTTAAATTCCTTTCCTAGCATGAAATTTGCCTGCTTCACAGCTGCTGAACACTGCATCAAAATCTTCATCAAGCTATCTACTATGACTCCAAGGTCTCATTCCTGGTGAGCATATATGTGAAATTAAGGTATTTTTGCTCCAACACGTATCACCTTACACTTGTTGACATTTAATCACATTTGCCATTTTCTGCCTGTTCACTTAGGTTGGGAGAGGTCCTTTTGGAGCGCTTCACAGTCTATTTTTGTTTTAATGACCTGGACAATTTAGTATCATCCGCAAACTTGGGCACCTCATTCCTCACTCCTAACTCTAGATCATATATGAAAAGTTAGAATGTACAGGCCCCAATACTGAACCTTGAGGGACTTCACTTTTTACATCTCTCCATTTGGATAACTGTCCATTTATTCCTATTCTTTGCTTCCTGAGACTTAACCAATAGATGCAAGAGGCCCTTGGTTGGAAGTCCAAGTAAACCTGTCCAGGTCCATTAGGGGCAGGGATAAAAGAATCTAATAATAATAATAATATTTTATTTATATCCCGCCTCCCCAGCCCAAGCCGGGCTCATAGCGGCTAACAACAGTAAAGTAATACAGAATTCTAAAATCAATTCATTATAAAATCAGTTCAAATAAAATTAATGGCAACCATTGGGCTAGAGTTCTGTGAGGATTACCAAAGGAGGGGGTCAGGCTGTGCCTTGGCCAAAGGCCTGGTGGAACAGCTCTGTCTTGCAGGCCCTACGAAAAGATGTCAAGTCCCACAGGGCCCTAGTCTCTTGTGACAGAGCGTTCCACCAGATCGGAGCCACAGCCGAAAAAGCCCTGGCTCTGGTTGAGGCCAGCCTAAATTCCCTGTGGCCCAGGACCTCTAAGATGTTTCTGTTTGAAGACTGTAAGGTCCTCCGTGGGATATAGCAGGAGAGGCAGTCCCATAGGTACGAGGGTCCCAGGACGTACAAGGCTTTAAAAGTTATAACCAGTACCTTAAACCTGATCCTGTACTCCACCGGGAGCCAGTGCAGCTGGTATAGCACTGGGTGAATATGATCCCACAGCGAGGACCCTGTAAGGAGTCTCGCCGCGGCATTCTGCACCTGCTGGAGTTTCTGGGTCAGTCTCAAGGGCAGCCCCATGTAGAGTGAGTTACAATAATCCAGTCTGGAGGTGACCGTTGTGTGGATCACAGTGGCTAGGTCAGGGCAAGAGAGGTAAGGAGCCAACTGCTTAGCTTGGCGGAGATGAAAAAATGCCGCCTTTGTTATAGCTGCAATCTGCGCCTCCATGGAAAGGGAGGTGTCGAAGATTACACCCAAACTCTTAACGGACGGTGCTGGCACTAATTGTGCCCCCGCAAGAGATGGGCATTGCCCCCCCATACCATATCATCCTGACCCAGCCAAAGGACCTCTGTCTTCGAAGGATTTAACTTCAACCGGCTCCCACGTAAGCATCCAGCCACAGCTTCCAAACATCTGATCAGTGTGTCTGGGGCCGAGTCAGGATGGTCATCCATCAACAGATAGAGCTAGGTGTCATCAGCATACTGATGGCAGCCCAACCCAAAACTCCAGACAAGCTGGGCGAGGGGGCGCATAAAGATGTTGAAAAGCATCGGAGAGAGTATCACACCCTGTGGCACTCCACACACCAAGGAGTGGTGCGATGACAATTCCCCCCAAGCGCCACCCTCTGTCCCTGACCAGAGAGAAACGAGCGCAGCCATTGAAGGACTGTGCCTTGGATCCCCACATTGGTGAGGCAGTGGTCCAGGAGTTCGTGACTGACCATGTCAAAGGCTGCTGACAGGTCTAAAAGAATCAGCAGCCCCAACCCGCCTCGATCCAGCTGCCTATGGAGATCATCTGTTAGGGCGAACAGAGCCGTCTCGGTCCTATGACCAGAGCGGAAGCCAGATTGGAATGGATCCAGAGCCAATGTTTCATCCAGAAACCCACCAAGCTGTTCAGAAACCGCTCTCTCAATCACCTTACCCAGGAATGGAAGATTCGAAACCGGGCGGTAATTAATTAATTAAATTGGAAAATAAACCACAAAACATTCCACAGCTAAACAGAACTACCATATAACATACATTCAGGGAAGAAAAACCACCTAAATAGTAGGAGAACAACAATCAAGCATCTAACAGTAAACAAGCAAAACTTAAATATAATCATGAAACAATGGACTATAAAGAACTAAAACAGATGGCAAAGGAAGGGGCGAGGGGGGGAGAGAGAAAAAAGAAAAAGGGTTCTTGTAGCAGATGAAGTTCTTGTAGCATCACGCGCCAGCTTGAGTCTACTCAAATGATCTGCCAACCTGGACAACCAGGCAACATCGGGGGATGGGCAAAACAAGGAGGGGCAGGCTCAGTAAATGCCCTGTTCGGTGTCGATGCCGTGCCTGATGGTCTCAGGGGGCCATCCCCTTGCTGTTGCGCTAGCACTTGTAGTGGCAGAGAAAGTGTTCCTCTTAGCATCAGGAGTCCTCAGGTTTCCCCCACAGCTGGTATTCTCAGGGCCATGGGATGATACCTCCGGGGGGGGGGGAGAGCCTCCATTACATCATCCTTCTCCATGCCAGGGTGGGAGCCACCAGTGTTGCTACCTCCAGGACTGACCGTCCCCCAGCTGCCACCTGGGTAGGTTCAATCTTTGGTGTCTCGAGACCTGAGAGGTTCAGAATTGGCCTCATCCTAAACTCCAGCTGCCACCTGAAGAATGGATGTCAACTCACCCCCAGGTGGAAGGCCCTCACCACAAAGGCCCCTGAGAGCCTTGGCCTCACGTAAGTTCTGTTGGTTACCCCCTCTGCTATGGCCAGCTGCCAGCCCTGTGGCTTAAGAGCCTCTGGCATCTTCAGAGTGGAACCTACCCCCCTCTGGCTTCCCTAAGTGCCTTTCAGTAGTATATTTTGACCCAGGCTCCATGCCGTGCATTTAATCAGTCTGTTTCAGTTAGGAGTACAGTGGTACCTCGGGTTACATACACTTCAGGTAACATACGCTTCAGGTTACAGACTCCGCTAACCCAGAAATATTACCTCGGGTTAAGAACTTTGCTTCAGGATGAAAACAGAAATCGCGCAGTGGCGGCGCAGTGGCAGTGGGAAGCGCCATTAGCTAAAGTGGTACCTCAGCTTAAGAACAGTTTCAGGTTAAGAACAGACCTCCAGAACGAATTAAGTTCTTAACCCGAGGTACCACTGTACTGCTGGCATGCAGGACAGTTGGATTCACAAGTGGGAATATAGAAGCAAGGCATACAGCACAGATGGATTCACAAGCTAAGAAGCTAGAGGCAAGCCCAAATGGAACACTCTTTTAACATAGCGTCTTCGGTAGCAATAACCTTTCTCCACCTCCCTTAGTTCATTTAAAAAGCCGAGTCAAAGCCTGTGTCAGAGTCAGTTCGGAAAAAAGTTCTGAAGATTAATTAAAATTGTTTAGAGTTACGAGTCCTTGAAATAGGCTGGGCAGCAGCTATTCAGCTGTTCGACTTCGTTAGATCTAATTTATGGTGCCAACTTCACAAGTTCTCTGATATAAGACCCCAGGTTACCAAACACATAAAACATACCCTACTTTCGATAAGAAGAGGGTTTAAAAGTTACAAAATTGAAAAGTTAAAAAAGTTAAAAGGAGTAGGAGCCCCCAACATACAATTGAGGAGAGCTCTAACAAGCGCGTCTAATCTAGCGTACCATCTGGATCCAGTACTCCAAGGAGAATTAGTAGTAAATTCCCTTCCTTCTCTCTCTCGGTCTCTCTCCCCCTTGTTAGTTAATGACACTTTTGACCCTTGAAAACACACACATAAAAATGCTGAATTCCCCTCTGCTCTCATTAAAACCTGAAGCTAGTATTCATGCACTAATTTGAATAGATTGATCACAGAGATTTATCTCTGAACTTCCTGGTAGTGGCAAACCTTTTAAACCTTAAAATTGTGGTGTGTTCCTATGCATGCCTCAGAAGTAACTCATCATAATCAAATATAAGCCAGGTTTTCCCAGTCAAGCCCAGATTGGTGTAATATGCTCAAATCATCTTGCCTCAGTGAGCATCCAGATTGCTGAATTCTGCACCTGCTGAAGCTTCTGAACTGTTCTCAGAGGCAGCCCCACATATAATACATTGCAGTAATCCAACCTAGAGGTTATAGAAAATAGGAAGAGTATAAAGAAAGAGTACAGTTGTACCTTGGAAGACGAACGGAATCCTTTCCGGAAGTCTGTTCAACTTCCAAAATGTTCAGAAACCAAAGTGTGGCTTCTGATTGGCTGCAGGAAGCTCCTGCAGCCAATCGTAAGCCGTGGAAGCCCCGTCAGACGTTTGACTTCCAAAAATAGAGTTGCAAACCGGAACATTCACTTCCGGGTTTGCAGCGTTTGGGAGCCAAAACATTCAAGAACTAAGCTGTTCGAAAACCAAGGTACGACTGTATTAGATAAATTCACAGAGCAGAAGGCTATCAATGGCTGTTAGCCATGATGACTATGCTCTGCCTCCATGACCGGAGGCAGTAATGGTTCCGGATTCCAATTTATGGGAATCACAGGTGGGGAGAGCACTGTTGTACTCAGGTTCTGTTTGTGGGCTACCCATGGGCATCTTGGTGGCCACTGTGGGAACAGGAGTCTGAACTACATAGGCCATGTGCCTGACCCAGCAGGCACATGGCCCATGTTCTTACATTTGACGTTCTTGACGTTCTTACATTTTTGTGGGGTTACAAAACTGTATCACAAAATTAGAAGTATTGAGTTCCAAAGGATAACTGTGTTGCATTTTGCTTATTAGTCCAGGATGTATAAACTAGGTTGGTTTGCAGAACCAAAGAAATCTGCTCTCCACCCCTAGTACCTATATTTTAGAGAGATTAGATAGATGATGATAGATGATAGATAGATAGATAGATGATAGATAGATAGATAGATAGATAGATAGATAGGTATGTATGTATGTATGTATGTATGTATGTATGTATGTATGCTGATCAGCATCCTTTTTCTTTCCCCAGTAGGGGAAGGGAGACTGAAAACTACTACTCAGCTCAAAATCCCTGACTACAGTTCTCCCCACTTCCATCATAATTCTCCAGTTCAAACAGACCCTTCTCTGAAAGCAAGAAGTGGCTCTGCTGTGAAGGTGATTGATATAGTCTATACCAGGGGTCAGCAACCTAAGGCTCATGGGGGTCGTTTAACCGGCCCATGGACCCCTGCCGCCCACTCGGTCGGCTCCTGTGCACCGCACTAAATCAGCACAGAGCACAGAGGGGACTGCCTTCCACGACGCTGACCAGCTTCCCATTGGCTGCAGGAAGCTCCTGCTGCCAATGGAAACCTGTGCGTGCCTCCTCTGTGCCGGAAGGAGCGCTGGAAATAGCGTTTGCGCATGCATGTGCGCACTCCGGCCCACTGCGGCGTCTGCGGGACCGTGAACCGGCCCAAGCCCCAAATACTTTGCCAACCCCGGTCTATACTTACCCTTCTATAGCTCAAGTTTCATTTTGCTTTTAATTGGGTCTTTATAGGCAATATTTATAGGCAGCAGTGACCATGCCATTGCTGGGTGTAGCAATAAAATTTTCATATCCTTGTTCTATTTTTAAAAAACAAGTCATTCCCAAAGAACATTCGAGAAACACAGTATTCCTACTTTACCTTTACCTTTACATTAAACTTGTCATCTTAAAAGGCTGGTCTTCACTCATTAAAAGGGCAGACAAACATTGTAAAATTAAAATAAATCATGCCTGAATTTTTTATCACTACAAGAAATCTATACCCACCCAAAGTACACAGTAAACTATTCTAACCTCAATGTTTTGGAGTGCAAATGTATTGTGGAAGGCACCTCTGAAAGCTGAGAAGTAGCAGTTGTTTTGGCAGCTAAGTCCAGGGTTCAGGTTCTACACTCTTATTGACTAAGAAATATTTAAGAGATATTAGGACACTCAGAAATACAGGATGGCAGCTATTCATGCTTCTGATGTGGGACACACAAAGAGATGTAGACAGACATCAACCATCTGATGTGAAACTCACATCTGCTCCAGACTAATGACTTAACTGCACTATACATTTAAAGCACCATTGTACCGCTTTAAACAGTCATTCCTCCAAATAATTCTTAAGGGTACTGAGCAGGGCTTTTTTTCCAGCCAGAATTCACCTGAACTAAGTTCTGGCCCCTCTCAGGTGGGCGCCATTGCCATTATAAGAGAACAAGGGAGGAGTTCATGGTGAGTTCCGGCACCTCTTTTTCTAGAAAAATGGCACTGGTAGTGAGAGTTGTTAGGGGACCCCCTCCCCCAACAGAGTTACAGATCAGCCACAGTTCCCTAGTAAGAGGGATTGATTGTTAAGCCATTCTGTATTTTGTTGCATGCCATCCCAATCTCCAAGAGGTTCCAGATGTTTATCCAGTCTAGGGGTTCACAGCATTAACATGAATTCCTAGTAAAGCCAGGCTAACTTCCTGGTCAGGTGATGGCCCTCTAAGTATAGGAATTCATAGGATCAAAGAATTGTAAAGTTGGAAGGGACCACGAGGGTAATCTAGTCACAGCCCCTGCAATGCAGGAATCTTTTTGCCCAGCGTGGGGCTCAAACTCATAACCCTGAAATTAAGAGTCTCATGCTCTACCAACTGAGCTAATGCCTGCTGGATCCAGGAATTAGAAGGAGGCTCATGTGTACAGCCTATCCCTGCATCCCCCGCAACTCATAACAACATTATAGCTCTGTCACAGGGTGCCTTAAATAGCTTGACTGCAAAGCTCTGGCTCTAGACACGTCAAAGAAGCGATTCAGATAAGCGTGTTGTAAACTCATACAGGGAAATCCGGTTGTGAAAGATGGGACTGCACAGCGCCATCTGGTGTCATAGTGTTATATCACATATACAGTGGTACCTCGGGTTACAGAGACTTCAGGTTACAGACTCCGCTAACCCAGAAACAGTACCTTGGGTTAAGAACTTTGCTTCAGGATGAGAACAGAAATCGCATGGCTGCAGCACGAGGCCCTATTAGCTAAAGCGGTACTTCAGGTTAAGAACAGTTTCAGGTTAAGAACGGACCTCCAGAACAAATTAAGTTCTTATCCCGAGGTACCACTGTAATACGCTTTTTCTTTACCAATCTATCTGAGTTCTCTGTTTGAAATAACCTCCCTACCCCATTTAAAGGGGTGTAAATCCCCAGAGAGGGACACGGGTGGCGCTGTGGGTAAAAGCCTCAGCGTCTAGGGCTTGCCGATCGAAAGGTCGGCGGTTCGAATCCCCGCGGCAGGGTGCGCTCCCGTTGCTCGGTCCCAGCACCTGCCAACCTAGCAGTTCGAAAGCACCCCCGGGTGCAAGTAGATAAATAGGGACCGCTTACTGGCGGGAAGGTAAACGGCGTTTCCGTGTGCTGCGCTAGCTCGCCAGATGCAGCTTTGTCACGCTGGCCACGTGACCCGGAAGTGTCTCCGGACAGCGCTGGCCCCCGGCCTCTTAAGTGAGATGGGCGCACAACCCTAGAGTCTGTCAAGACTGGCCTGTACGAGCAGGGGTACCTTTACCTTTACCTAAATCCCCAGAGAGGATACCAGATATTGGGCAGCTGGGTACCCACAACCATGTCAAATTTGGCCTGTGAAGTGGATCCTCATAATGATATGGTCTGTGGTACCAAACAGCTTCCCCACCCCTATGTTGCATTACAAACTGAATGCTGTTGCTATGCCAGCATCCTGCCCATGATAACACAGGGTCATGATAACACAAGGTCCAGGGTGACATTATTTTGTAGAAGGGAGTCAAGGACATACTGGAACTTCAAGTTTGTGCATTTGATGTGGATTAAAGTGCTGGTGCTCTAACACACCAAATCCATTATGAACCACCTTCACCCCATAGTTTTTGCTATTAGAAAAACAATGAGCAAATGCATTAAAAGGTGTGGGAACAACGAACGATGAAAAGGAAGATGCTTAAACACCCCACAACCAAGATCAGGATAAATGTTCATGGCCATAACCAAATCAGAATGAATGCTCAATAAAGGCTGCTGACTGACTACCAAGCAAATCAGGATGAATGTAAATAAACAGTGTCACACCCACACCACACATTTAAAACACGCTTATACCACTTTAAATGGAATTGTTAGAAGACCCATTAGCAAACTACAGTTCCCGGGATTATTTGGGGAAAGCCATGACGGTTAAAGTGGCATGAGAGTGCTTTAAATGTCAGGTGTGGATGTGATAGCGCAAGTCTGGAGGAGCCCTTTATTAGAAGGATTGATGTTTCTAAGTTGCTTTGAGAGGTTATTGCGGTTAGGCCTGAAAAGCTAGATGTGCGCCGCACCCCATAGTCACCTTTGACAGGACTTAAGCATCTAGGGGGTCCTTTACATTTACCTTTGCTGTGGTTAGAAAGCACACTACAATGTTTACATGAAAGAAACACTTAGAAGTACTCAAATTATTTCATAGAAAGTGTTTATCTATAATGAATCTATAATCAACTCATCTTGATTATTTTGAACAAGTACTTACCAGAACTGAAGTGGGTGAGAAATAATTTTTGTAGCTTTTGGAGTTAACACACACACACACACACACACACACACACAGCACGCGCAACCATTTCCTTTTAAAAAGCTGAGCAGGGGAAAACCCAACAATACTTATGGGCTTGGCTTAGGACATCACATCCCTGCCCAGTTCATAAAATCAATGAAGCAGGTGAAAAGAAGCAAATTTTCTATTTCCCAGAAGGAGACTCTACAGGTAGAAGGACTCCTGAGAGCAGTTCCAAAATAGGAAGCCCTGCCAGGGTCACAGGCGTGCCAGATAAGAGACATCGCAGACTCTCTAATGGGGAACTGGGCCGTCAACCATTGGTTTTCAGCTCTTGTGATTGTAAGTAACTCCTGTTAAGCTCTAAAGGGATAGATTTGAGAAGCAAGGAAGATGCCAGACTCTGGGAACTGTAACTCTGTGAGGGGAAGAGAGGTCTCCATATAACTCTCAGTACCCCTAACAAACTACAGTCCCCATGATGGTTTAAAGTGGTATGATGCTGTTTTACATCTTATAGTGCAGATGGGGCCTAAGTTTTAGGTATGTGCTTGAATCACTCCTACAAAATAATGAAAGTCTGAGGTACCTTAATAGGACTTCTGTCTGATCTCGCAGGGCCCTCCTTAGGTATTTTAAGGAAATTTTACAGTCGTGGTGCTACTATTGAGAAGGCACCTGCTCCCAGTTAAGCATGCAGGGTATCTTTTGACATTTACTAACATAATATGTATGCAGTGCTTTTTTTCTGGGGAGACACTGGGGTATGCATACCCCTAAATATTTTGTGAATCTAAATTTGGCCTCATTGAGGGGCAGTATTTCAATATGAGTAGGAAAATGAGAGTACAGTACTCCTAAACTTTTCTTAAAAAGAAAAAAAGCACTGTATGTATGTAAAAGGGATGTGTTTTTTGTTTCTGTGCAATTAAGAGGATGCCCTAGAACAGAGATCTTCTATGTTCCGGGATGGATCATTTTTTCTGAAAGATAACTGGATTTATGTACTCCCTCTCCATGTATGCCTATAAATACATGCTCAAATGCAAGCTGAAGCTAACACTTCATGCCTCTGATGAAGTGGAATCTAGACTGGGGATGGAAGGATCTGTCAATTTCATTTCTCACAAATTCTATTTTTTTCCAATCTTATATTCAGTTCCCCATATTTCTGCAGCAATTTGTGACTTTCTTTTTTAAAAAAATCTTTATCATTTCTGAGTGAATTACTCCCAATAAATGCATTTTTAACACAGTCTTAACTGAAGTACACATTTATGCAAGTAACTTCTTCGAATATAATGCAATTTTGAGTGTTATTTTCACTCACATTTTTATTTTAATGCATGTTTCCCCCTCATACTTGCATTTTCTGTAAACGCTGTTAGTTGGAAAACCGTATTGCAAATTTGGATTTGTGCAAATTTTGAAGATGGCTGTGTTTCAGTTCTCACAACTGTTTAGTCTATTTTTTGTTGTTGTTTATCATTCATTAATTCATTAATTCTAATTATTACATTTGTATCTTGTCCTTCTTTCGGAAGGAGTCCAGGAAGGCAAGCATTTCTGCAACAACAAGAAAAACAAATAAAGTTAATAAAAACAAATTTAGAACATCTTAAAAACCTGTCAAAAACATTCAAAAAACATCTAAAGCAAATTGAAGGACAGAGGCAACTAAATCATGTGTCAGCAGGGGTGAGTGATGGAAGGCAGTGATGGTGCCCGCCCAGTGTCAATATTATTTATTTTATTTCATAGAACCATAGAATTGTAGAGTTGGGAGGGACTTCGAGGCTCATCTAATTCAATCCCCAGCAATGCAGTAATCTGAACTAGCTCATACATGACAGATGGCCCAGTCAACCTCTGCTTAAAAACCTCCAAGGAAGGAGAGCCCACAACCTCTCTTGGGATTCAAATCCACTGTTAAACAGCTCTTACTGTCAGAAAGTTCTTCTTGATGTTCTTGCAACCTGAAGCCATTGGTTTGGATCAGCGGTCAGCAGCCTTTTCCAGCCGTGGGCCGGTCCACCATCCCTCAGACTTTGTGGTAGGCCGGACTATGTTTTGAAGGGAAAAAATGAACAAATTCCTATGCCCCACAAATAACCCAGAGATGTATTTTAAACAAAAGCACACAATCTACTCATTTAAAAACACGATGATTCCCAAACCATCCGCGGGCCGGATTGAGAAGGCAATTGGGCTGCATCCGGCCCACAGGCCTTAGGTTACCTACCCCTGGTTTGGATCCTACCCTCCAGAGCAGGAGAAAAAAAGTTTGTTCCCTCTTCCATGGGACAGCCTGTTTGATACTTGAAGATGGCTGTCGTATCTCCTCTCAGTCTCCTGTTTTCCAGGTTAACCCTACCCAGCTCCTTCAGCCGCTCCTCAAAAGGCTTGGTTTCCAGATCCTTGATCATCTTGGTCACCCTCCTCTGCACTCATTCCAGCTTGTCAATATCCTTCTTAAATCTTGTCTTTCCCCCAGAACCCGGAACTTGAGGCAGTTCACATAAATCAACACAAATACAGATAAAGCACATGTTGCTTAAAGCGCAAACAGTACAATGTTACTGTTGAAAATGGAATGCAATAGTGTAAATTACAGGCCTGTTAAAATGCAGATAGTTATGGCAAACAAACACAAACAGTGCAACACATTATTAAAACCCTTTTCTTAAAAGCAATTGGTTCCTCATAGTCTGCTGGAATAAAGGAGTCTACACTTGCCAGCGGAAGGACAACAAGGAAGGAGCCAGTCCATCCTCTTTGGGAAGGGAGTTCCAAAACCTGGGAGCAGCCACCGAGAAGGCCATTTCCCACATCAGTTGGCGTGGAGTTCCAAAATACAAGTGTTGTCACAAGCAATGAGTCCTTTACCTACAATGATAAAATAAAATCAATATTTACCAAAACAAAGAGAGAAAGTATAAACCTGTTCAAAACCTCCATAACATCCTAACTTCCTCATACTTTATGGTGCAGGAATGTTCAAGAGCCAGTTGCAAAGTTGACTCAGAAGAACAAATTTGCTCTTCCTCCCTGCCAAGGCTGCTGCTTCTGTGCACACTGAGTGACATTTGCTGGCTGTGGGAATGCAGCTAATGGCCTGAGCAGTAGCCCCAGAGCTTGCTGGTGCCTGCGGCTGTTTCCAGCCATTGCTCTTAATGGAATTTGGATCAGTTCTTAAGTAGTTTGAACCGGAAAGGCAGTTCAAATATGTGATATGGTCAAACATAGAGAAGTTGTAAGTAGTTTACATATTAAGTCTGTATTTGACTGATCAGAAATTGATAAGAGACACATAGCGTCATGAGCACAAACAGTGACGGAAGAGCAATAAAAAGGAGATCAGTCTCAGCAGTGGGGCGGTTAGCTAATTTTAGACTCTGAACATAAATGGTTTTTATGGGACTCTCTCTTTATAGATGGCAATTGCTTCATTTGCTTTAAAGCTGACCCTGCTATATTTGAGCTCCCTCCTGAGCACTCTGCTGGATGGGCCTCTGCCCCAGAGTTATGCACCGGAGGCTGAACTGTTCCTGGATATTTCAGGAACTGAACCCAGAACCTTCTGTATGCAAGGCACATAGGAGCCAACTCCTAGGGGCTGTGGGGGATTTGCCCCCCCTAAAATATCTGAGGGACCTAAGCCCCCGCAAAATTAATGGGCATTCCTATTCAAATAGTGTGTATTCATTGTGCCATGTGATTTATATATTTATGAGAAATGATCTTAACTGATATCCTAACAAGCATGACATTGATTTGATTATTTTCTGCTTGCAATTCTGCTGTAGGCTCACTTGTGGAGATGAAGCCAATCGCTTCTTTTTCTTAGACATTTTCACAGAAATGCAGCTGCTACTATTTTCAGCTGTAAATCAGGAAACTCAGCATCCTTCCAAGATTAGGGCGTTTGAACTCCTCTCCTGCTGATAAGTAGTTGGTACATTGAGTCGAGCTGTAGCTAATTAAGGCTTTCTCCGGGACTTTCCAGGACTTTCTCTAAAACTTTTAGTTTTAGTTTATCGCTTGGTATCTTAGTTATTTTAAACTACCAAGCAATAAACTAAAGCTAGTAAAAATTAATAAAAAGCTGATAAAACTGGTAAAAACTAATCAAAACCTCACAACTAACGCAGAGCTCAAATCAGTGCTTCCTCTAACGACGGCATCTTGGCTCCTCCTCCTGATAATCAGGATCATGCCACTTTTACTCTCGCGGATGAGTGGCCTCCTGTCTCCATCACCAAAGTTATAAGTTTAATCGACCAGATGAAACTAGGAAAGGCTGCTGGCCCTGATGCCATTCTATCTGAATTGATCAAAGCCAAGTCAGAGTGGTGGGCTCTGATACTAGCGGAACTTTTCACTATGATAGATAGATATTGTATTATGCCTAACTCATGGCAGCAATCTATAATTATTCCAATCTTTAAAAAGGGTGATAAAAAGCTGCCTTCCAACTATCGGCCAATAAGCCGCTAAGTACATGTGGCTCCACAAAGAACATCTCTATGTGGCCTTCCTAGATATTAAAGCTGCTTTTGACATTGTTGGCAGGGGGCTGTTATGGACCAAATTGGAGACAATGGGCCTAGAACCCAGATTACTCTACTGGTGACAGTCCTTGGTGACAGTCATGGGGCTAAAACCTTTGCCCATTCCCCCAACCCCCCAATATTCTAAAGTGTATTGGGTTTAGTAAGCCAACTCAACTATGTTTTCTCCTTCTGTGTTCTAGGTTGCTTGGCTGGGAGTAAACATTTCCCTCTTTGTGGTTTATTTCTTGACCTTTGACAGAGGTGAAAAGTACTTCTACACCCGCCAGATCCTTGGGGTGAGCATCATCTCCTCAATTTCTGATTGCCTCTGCTCTTAGGAGATGAATAATCTTGGCAAAGGATAGCAAGATACGCTTGTTTGAAAATCCTAATTCATTGACAGGATTAATACCCTGCATATTGTTAATTAATATAGCATATGAATCATTGGGCTGTTGGGGCAGAAGGTAAGGAGCCTAAAAAGTAGGTGGAACCTGAGCCAATGGGAGTCAGAGTCAACTAATCCTAGTTTTGACACACATACCCCATCCTTCCGGCTGAGGAGAAATACCTGAGACTGAAGAAGAGGAAGTTGTTGGTAGTGCAACCCCTTGGAAGTTGGAAGTCAGGCATGTGGGGGCTGGTTAGGGGTTGGATAGCACCACATTTGCCCTAATTGGACCAGCTTCTACCGATGCAAAATAAGCCTTGCAATTGGCCGTTGGGGATAATAAACTACCTAAATTACAAATGATGGCAAGCATTACCAACTACAATGGTACTTGGGGTTACAGACGCTTCAGGTTACAGACTCCGCTAACCCAGAAATAGTACCTTGGGTTAAGAACTTTGCTTCAGGATGAGAACAGAAATTGGGGGGCGGCGGTGTGGCGGCAGTGGGAGGCCTCATTAGCTAAAGTGGTACCTCAGGTTAAGAACAGTTTCAGGTTAAGAACGGACCTCCAGAATGAATTAAGTTCTTAACCAGAGCTACCACTGTAGTTAGCTCGTGCACAGGCTGAGAGCATGGTGTGAGGAGTAGGCAGGTAGAGGAGGAAATGTGGCATAGGTAGATGGGAGGAAAAGACAATTGAAGGCATGCACTGTGATTTGCATAGAGCAGGTCATATGTTATATGCCCCTGAACAATTTTCTACTTTCCGCCATGCCCCACCCAGCATGTTCCACCTATCAATTTCAGTTTCTCATTTTCCAAATCTTAAGCTCGGCTCTTCTAGGATTGCCATATTGTTGAACTTTTTAAAAAACAACAACAACCAGGAACACAAAATTTTGATTGACGTATGGCAGCCCTCAGCTATTCACAATTTTGCATTAGTTTGTAAATTTCAATTATTTTTCTAAAGTTCTCTTTAATTAGCATCTTCGTGCAAATTTCTCTGGATATAAACCTTTTTTGTAAACAAATTTCCCAAATGCGATGCGTTTTTCTATGTATATTTTCACTAACGTGCAGTTTAAGGCACACTTTCCCCTAATAGGCACACATCTTTATTACCAATTATTTTATTGGAGAACTGTAGTGCAAAATTCGGAAGAGTGAGAGAGTGGAAAGATGCCTGTGTTAAGGTTTGCATATTGTTTCAGGAAGTACAAACGGGGGAGTTTCACATTAAAATACAAACAGAACCAAATTTCTGGGGGGCCCTCCATCCCTACACTAGAGGCAGCTGCCTCTCTTTACCTAATGGTAGAGCCAGACCGGAGTATAAAACAGTTACAAGTTTGTAGTAAAAAAAACCAACACCCTTCTGCAGCTTATCCTCTTTTTATTTGTAGTCTGCCCTGCCTTGGGCACGTGCTTCAGCCAAATGCCTCAACTTCAACAGCATGCTGATCCTGCTGCCTGTTTGCCGGAACCTTCTCTCCTTTCTGAGAGGCAGCTGTTGGGTGAGCAAGAAATGGATCTCAACTGCACCTCCAATTTGTTGCTTATAATTTATTTATTCAATTTCTATACTGCCCTCCATTTGAGGATCACAGGGCGGTTTACAATATAAAAATATAGAGGCCACATTCACACCTTACATTTACAACCAACAGCTCCCAGGATTATTTGGGGGGGATGTCATAACTGTTTAAAGAGGCATCACAGTGGTGTTGATGTATGGTGTGAATGTGGTCAAGGAGGCTGTCTTTCCAGCTAGGTTTCCTTCGTCCAGTTTTCAATCTCCGAGGAAATCATGGTGTTTGGGACCTCTGGGCTGTTTATTACCTCAATATCTGTTGAGTTAATGGATAGGTGAGTTTTAAGGAACCCAACACAATAGTTGTGGCTTGCAGAAAACTATTGCGCAACAGATAGCTCAGCCCCACAATGAACTTATGGAATCTCTTGGGGGGGAAAAGGTCTGCTGGTGCAAAACATTTCACCGGCGAAACAAGTGCACCGCTAAGTGACGCTAACACAGCTGTACATTGGATACAACTCTCTGTGTATTTCTCATACTGTGTCATTAGAATGGAAGAAGCCCTTTAAATCTTGGGAGAGAGACAGAATATAAATACCGTATTTTTCGCCCTATAGGACGCCCTTTTTCCCCTCCAAAAATGAAGGGGAAATGTGTGTGCATCCTATGGGGCGAATGCAGGCTTTCGCTGAAGCCTGGAGAGCGAGAGGAGTCGGTGCACACCGACCCCTCTCACTCTCCAGGCTTCAGGAAGCTATCCGCAAGCCTTGCGCGCCCGGGGGGAGGTCCCGCCGGGCGTGCAAGGCTTGGGGCGGCAGCCTGCAGCCTGAAGCACGGGCCCTCCGGAGGATGCCCTGTGCTTCGGGCAGGTGTCCGCAAGCCTTGCACGCCTGGGGGGAGTTCCCCCCGGGCGGCAAGGCTTGCAGGCAACAGCCTGTTCTGGGGGCTGGGGTCGGGGGAAGCTCGGGCTTCCCCCGCCCCCAGCTCCCAGCCCCTCAAGTAAGCTCCGGGAGCGATGGCGAGGTTGTACAACCTCGCCATCGCTCCCGGACCCGTTCTGGGGGCTGGGGATGGGGGAAGCTCGGGCTTCCCCTGCCCCCAGCCCCCAGCCCTGCAAGCAAGCTCCGGGAGCAATGGCAAGCCCTGCCCCCAGCCCTGCAAGCAAGCTCCGGGAGCAATGGTTTCCCCTGCCCCCAGCCCCGCAAGCTCCGGGAGCGATGGCAAGGTTGCGCAACCTCGCCTTCGCTCCCGGACCCCGAGCCCTGAGGCTAAAAACGAAGCCAGGACAGCAAGCAGGATCCATCCTGCTTGCTGTCCTGGCTTCTTTGCTCTTTGGGGCTCGGGGGGAAAATAATTTTTTTTCTTTATTCCCCCCCCCAAATAAGTGCGTCCTATGGGCCGATGCGTCCTATAGGGCGAAAAATACGGTACATGAAACAACATCTACTACAACAACAACAATCCAAACCATTTCCTCCAGCCCCCTTTGCTGATCAGCTCCACTTCGTCATCGTCATCATCATCATCATCATGTTACAATAGTAACAATAATCCAAATAATTTCTTCCATTCCCTTCTGCTGATCAGCTGCATATCACAGGGAGTCCTGTATGCAAAGGAGCAATCTCCTGTTAAGCTCCTGATTCCTGCTGTGAAATTGCTTTGTAGTCACATATCATGTCAGGTCTGGGGCAGATGAACGTTGCTTGGGCAATCCTTTGGGTGAAGTTGGGGCCAATGCTGGGGTGCCCCACCCTGTGTGATACCCACATTGAATTTTACACCCCAGTCTGCTAGCTGGCCTGTTTTTTTGCTTCCATTCAGTGTTGCAGACGCACCATGAGGAAACAACTAGATCACAACTTGACCTTCCACAAGCTGGTGGCCTACATGATTGCCCTCCACTCAGGTAAAATGACTTCTGTTCTAGAGAAATCAAAAGGGCCCAACATTCGTTTTCATGAGTACAATAAGAACTGTAAGGCACCCCACAAATGTCCAGTGATAAACACTGATGTCACCAGTGGAACTTAAATGAATTGGGGGTGGGAAGGAGATATGTTGCCAAACTAGAGCATTTACATTGTGCATCAAATTGATTCCCAACTAAGGGTTCTGTTGAGCTCACAGTTTATGTTTGTAATGGATTGGGTAGGTTAATACTCACAACATTTTGCTAAGAAGCCTTGACATCTTTTTATACCAAAAATAAAATAAAATAAAAGGTATTCAAAATAACAATTTCAAAAGCATTTAACTATTGTTTTTTTATTTAAAAAATGAGTGCAGAATGGTGGGGGCAGAAGTCAGGGTGGTCAACAGTAGGCGGAGCCAGGGGCAATGACTGATTCTAAGTTTGGCCACATCCTCCTTCCTGTTGAGTTCTGCAGGGACAAGACTGAGGGTGGATCTAAACACGGGGGGTGGGGTGGGGTGGGGGAAGGTATAAATAAGTCAGGAATTAGATCATTATAACAAAAGAAAGAAATCTCTATGGAAAACCATGTTTTAAAATTTCCTGCTCTATGGCGCAATCTGGTGATGCATGTTTATAGCACATTCATATCACCATCTTTACTAACATAGCTGAGTCCTGAGACTGGAAAGGAGGAAGTGGAAAACCAGTGCCTTATATTGACATTTCTGCAAGGAATTTTCATTAGCATGACATAACTTTAGTACATTGTTCTCGCCAATACGTGTATTGTTATGTACACGTTTGGGTTGGAGACCTGCATCACACAATGCAGAGAAGTATACATTTCAAAGTATAGTTGCATTCTTCTTCAAATTAGATACTGTAGATTCCGGCATATAAGACGACTTTTTAACCCCGGAAAATCCTCTAAAAAGTTGGGGGTCGTCTTATACACCAGGTATGGGTTTGCTGGGCAGCGGCAGTGGGCGGCAGGCTCCGCGCCGGGAGGAAGCTGCCCGGCGAAGCTGCCCAGCGATGCTAATCCGGCTTCGCTGAGCAGCTTCCTCCCACCGCCCACTGCTGCAGCTGCCAATTTGGCGAGTCGTCTTATACGCCCAGTCGCCTAATACGCCGGAATCTACGGTACTGTCCTTCATCAAAAGATTCTCAGGGTGGTTCACAGAATAAAATGCAAGATAAAACACAAGTTATAAATTAAACCAAAGGAGCAAAATAATAACTCCCCCTCCCCCTCCCTACATTTAAAGGGCTGTAGGATATTAATCAGCCAAAGGCCTTTCTGAAGAGGAATATTTTCACCTTGCATCTGAAGATGTATAATGAAGGTGCCAGGAAAGCCTCCCTGGGAGAGCATTCCACGGATGGGGAGCCACTGCAGAGAAGGCCCTGTTCTTGTGTTGCCACCCTTGTGGAGGAGGCACATGAAGAAGGGCCTCAGAGGATGTTCCCCGAATATGGGATGGTTTTTATGTTGAGAGGCAGTCCTTGAGATCCATGATTGCAGTTTGCTCACTGGTTCAGGAAGTTCATATTAGGTAGGTTCGTATAAAAATGCGAACTGAATCACTTTCTCCCCCATCCCTACATGGGAATGTGCATGCATGGAAACATACACACTGAGTCAGCAAGGGCAGATAGCTGCGTGCATTTAACCCCAATTACTGGTAGTATAGAAAGAGAACATCAGTATAGAAATAGCCCCTTTGCTGGTGTCAGCATATTGTATAATTTGGCTGTCTACAAGGACGCAGTTCAGGTTTTTCTTGCCCTCTCTTCCAGCGGTTCACATCATTGCTCACCTGCTCAACTTTGAGTGGTACAACCGTGCCAAGCAAGCAACAGACGGAGACCTGGCTTCCACCCTCTCTCACTTACATGAGGACGATGGGTTGTGGCTAAACCCCATCCATTCAAACACTACGGTTGGTGCCTCACAAGCTTTGCTCAATAAACATCATTGAAGTTCTGAAAGGGAAAGTTGCTGGTGCTTCAGCCTTGCTGAAAGCTTCCTTTCCTTTTGACTGTAAGCAATAACTTGTCAGTGTTATGCATTTTGTTCTATTTAGAGCCTACTGGTGATTAGTTTTCATCTGGGTGTTATTAGTTCGTTGGTGTTATTTTTAAGGAGAATTTCAGCGGTGCGCTTGTATGTTCTGGGTTACTAGGATGTGTGAACGCAACCTAAGAGTCTATAGCCCTTATGAAGAAGACACCCCACTCAGCCTTGCTTGGACCAATCACCATCTCTCAACCTTACCTAACTTATTATTATTATTATTAAGCGGCTTCCAACAGAGTATTTAAAAAATGATACATTAAAATGTCTTCTAAAAGTCAAATATTTGTATGTCTGTTGGACATCTGATGGGAGAGTATTCCACAAGGTAGGCACCGCTACTGAGAAGGCCCTCTGTCTGGTTCCCTGTAACTTCACTTCTTGCAATGAGGAAACCCAACAGAAGGCCTCAGAGCTGGACCTCAGTCTCCATGCTGAACAATGGGGATGGAGACACTCCTTCATGTATACAGCTATCTTTCAGTGTCATGGACCATGTACACCACCTTGAGCTCCTGGGAGAAAAGGTGGTATATAAATGTCATAGTTAAACCTTGTCTGTAAGCCAGAGCTTTTATCAAGCACAACTTTACATGTCATAATCTGGCTTTCATCTGCAGACACCCTTGTATGTGGCATTCACCACCATTCCTGGTATAACAGGTGTGATCATCACCTTGTGCTTCATCCTTATGGTCACTTCTTCTATGGAGTTCATCCGCAGAAACTACTTTGAGGTCTTCTGGTACACCCATCATCTCTTTGTTATCTACTTTCTTGGCCTCGTCATCCACGGCATTGCGTAAGGCACTTCTGCAATTGTGAGATAGGCTAGCTAGGATAGCTAGGAGTGGGCGAATCTAACCATTTCATGTTCCTCTTTTCCCTAAGAGGAATGTTAGGCTCTCCACAAATCAAAAGCAGTATTTGTGTGTCTCTCTGTGTGTGTTTTAAGTAGTCTTCCTGAAAATTCATTAGTTTTTTAGTGCGAATTTCTCCTAACATGCACATCTTGTTGTGTTGTTTTGCCTAATATACACCTTTTTTGCGAAACAATTTATCCACATATGGTGCATTTGAATGTTATTTTCACTAATACGTGTTTCTATGTGCACACTTCCCCACTGCTGATTTAAAGCAAAGAGCAACCTTTTTGCAACCCACACCTTACAACTGAAAACCAAACACAATAGGAGCTGAAAGAGTCTATTGGAAAGGTTTGCTTAGCTCACATGGCCTGTATGAGCAAACCTCCTTTTCCACTATAGTGGTACCTTGGGTTACATACACTTCAGGTTACAAACTCTGCTAACCCAGAAATAGTGCTTCAGGTTAAGAAATTTGCTTCAGGATAAGAACACAATTGTGCTCCGGTGGCGCGGCAGCAGCAGGAGGCCCCATTGGCTAAAGTGGTGCTTCAGGTTAAGAACAGTTTCAGGTGAAGAACAGACCTCTGGAACGAATTAAGTACTTAACCCGAGGTACCACTGTACTGGGCTTTTGTTCCTTTCTTTCACATTTGCAGTTTTGATGGTTATGTTCTTTTTTTCCAGAGGTCTTGTTCGTGGGCAGACAGACAAAAGCTTGGAGGAGAGCAATCCTAAGCTCTGTGCTGGGCAGTATACAGAGTGGGCTCAAGGCAACAGCACTCATTGCAAAGTGCCTGAGTTTCAGGGTCTTCCTGCTGAGGTAAGAATGACATACTGTATTTTTCGCCCTATAGGGTGCACTTTTCCCCCTCCAAAAATGAAGGGGAAATGTGTGTGCGTCCAATGGGGCGAATGCAGGCTTTCGCACTGACCCCTCTCGCTCTCCAGGCTTCAGGAAGTTATCTGCAAGCCTTGGGAGCACCGCGGGAGTTCCTGCCGGGCTCCCTAGGCTTGCGGAGAGCTGCCTGCAGCACGCCCCAGGCTTTGGGCTTCGCGCAGCTCTGCACAAGCCGTGGGAGCCCGGGGCGACTTCGCGCTGGGCTCCCACAGCTTGCGGAGAGCTGCCTGCATCCCTGCGGATAGCAGCCTGTTCTGGGGGCTGGGGTCGGGGAAGCTCGGGCTTCCCCCGCCCCAGCCCCACGCCTGGGGGTGGGAAATAATTTTTTTCTTTATTCCCCCCCCCAAAAAAAACCAACTAGGTGCGCCCTATGGGCCGGTGCGCCCTATGGGGCGAAAAATACGGTACAACATGAGGAAAGCACTGAAGTGATGAAGGTGGAAGGTTTCACAAGTGGGAAAATGCTGGCCCTGCAATTAAACTGTCCATTCTAACGTGGATGTTGTTTCTTTAAAGTCCTGGAAGTGGGTGTTGGCCCCAATAATTCTCTATGCCTTTGAGAGAGCCTTGAGGATTTGGCGTTCCTGCCAGAAGGTGGTTGTTGTAAAGGTAAGCATCTCTGCTTTCTTCTTCTTCTTGGCTTTGAGTTGGATACATAGGACACATTAAGTGTGTCTCAAGATGGAAGCACACCATACGACTGAAAGCACCCTGAAAGCAGACAGCTTCCCCCAAAGAATCATGGGAACTGTTGTTTGTTAAGGTTGTAGCTCTCTGAGAGGTAAACAACAACAGTTCCCAGGATTCTCTGGGGGAAGTCATCTGTTTTAAACGTTCATCAAATGTGTTTTAAATATGTGGTGTGGATCTGCCCTCAGCTAGAGCTCAAGGAAATCAAGACAAGTTCTTCGTGTCAGTGGTAAATTGAGGGCACTTTCAGACTGCTGGTGTTTTCAGGTGGGATTCAATCGTATACCAGTTCAGCTTGTGAGTCAAGGCCCCGCTCCCCACTTGGTGATGAAATAAGATACATGGACACAAGTATTTGGGTTAATGGGCTAAAAAAGGCCACAACTTTATTGGTTACAGAATGTGAGTGGTATTGGCTTAGGCATTGGATCCGAACAGACTATACTTGACTCCTGCCCGCTCTGCAGGGAGTCATGCAAGGGTTAACAACCTGTAGGGGGACCTTGTTGATGCGAATCAACTGGAAGCTTTCCCCTAGAGCAGCCTTTCTCAACCTGTGGGTCCCCAGATGTTGTTGAACTAGAACTCCCATCACCCCTAGCTATCAAGGCGAGAGCTCAGGGATGATGGGAGTTGTAGTCCAACAAAATCTGGGGACCCACATGTTGAGAACCGCTGCCCTAGAGTCACCGGAGGGTCGTGCCATGGCCCTAGCCACCACCTGGGTGTCGGACAGGAACCACAACCGCCGGATTCCTTTAATGGAATACCCTTCAAGAGGAGGGGTGGGTGATGGTCACAACCTCCTCTCCAACACACAACGCACTTTCCAATGCCTAACCACCAAGTTGTGACGATTTGCTATGAGGTAGGCAATAAACCAAGCGGCTAGTTCCAATCTGCCAAGTGGAAAAAATTCCTACCAGGCCCCTTGGACAACCAAGGCGACCAGCCGAAGTCCATAGCAAGGGAAGGAGCTGAAGCAAAACCTAGAGGGTGGGTGGGCGGGTTGGTAATCCATGGAAGCCGTAAAAGCAAGGGAGAGCTCATGGGCCTGCGGCTGTTTAAATCCAGCTAAACCACGCCCCCCAGCGAGCTGGATTGGCTGGCTGAGGGGCGTGACGCGGGCCCAGGGCTCCAGTGACGGGGGGGCCTAGCCACGCCCCCCCCTGTGACTGCAGGAAGTGATTCCCGCTCACAACCCCTTCCCTCTGGGAAGAGCAGAGGCTTTCTGCAACTAAAGCTGATTTGGAACTGTTATACAGCAAACCTGCCCCCCCCCCATCAGACTCTTTATGATAAATTGTGGGAAAATGCACTGGTAAGTATGGGGAAATCTTTGCTTGACACAATGTCATCCTACCACTCTGCAACCTGTTTACTGTTTACATCCTGATTTATTCGTTGGGGTACCAGACAACGTTATCTATTTAACAAGCACACATTCTGATTTGTTTGCGGGGAAATTCTATGACGTTCTGCCATAGCAAGTCTTGTCCTCAAGTTTCCAGCGCATTTCCCTATCCCTTTCCTTATCACGGAATGTCTGGTCTTTTGGGGGAAGTGGGCTTGTTGTGCAAGACACCTCACCACCCCCGACTATAATGATGCAATATGAGTTTGCTAGAGTGTGATTGGAACTCCACCTGGAAACAGCCAGAGTCTGGAAGTGCTCCTGGCCTAATCAGATTGGGATGAAAGCTGACTAAAGCACAGCATCAAGAAGACACTGGACTTAAGTGGTCTTATGAGGGGCTCCTTCCGCCTCTACAGTGGACGCTCGGGTTCTGAACATGATCCGTGTGGGATGCACGTTCACAACCCACAGTGTTCGCAACCCGCAGCAGTGCGTTTGTGCACGCACGGGTTGTGATTTGGTGCTTCTGCGCATGCGCATAGCGCGATGTAGCACTTCTGTGCCTGCATGAACCCGAAACCCAGAAGTAGCCTGTTCTGGTACTTCCAGGTTTCAGCTGGTCCGTAACCTGAAAAAAACGCAACCTGAAGTGTCTGTAAGCCGAGGTATGACTGTACTGGCCCGTTCTGTTTGGGTGGGAGAATAGGTGGGGGGGGCCTTCCTGCTCATTCTGCTGGGTGGGGTCCTTGGCCTCTGTTCCAAAGTCCTGCATGGATGGGCCACTTCTTTCTGCCCTCTGAGGAAAAAGAGAGATCAAGAATGAGAAATGTAATTCTAAGTGTGTGCACATGTGCGCAGCCAACCCTCCCATGAAGCAGCTGCCTTCGGTGGTGGTAGTGGAAGAAGTGTACTCACCCACCCCACTAGCAGCCAAGGTAAGGAAGGCTTCAGTGGCGGAAGGGTGGTACAGTGTAGCTGCACAGCGTAGCTGCTGGTCTCCCTCGTCCCCCAGAAAAACCTCCCTTTAGCTGAGCCTTGGTAAGAGATTAGTGTTCTAGGAAGCCCTTGCAGGCCTACGTATTTTGCCTCAGGCGACAAAACATTCCTGGCTTCCTCTATAGCCAGTTTGTGAATAGATAACAGGAATCCTTGACAAAGAATACTGTAGGCTTTAGCTGTTATCTCCAGGACTTTTTATTTACTAAGAAAGTCTGGTGAGGAATAAATGAATAGGGGAGAGGGCAGAAACCTTATGATCCTGTTCTGCAACCCTGGTGTCATATGACATCTGCTTAGTAGGAATAAAGGTGAATTTTTTTATTTTTTTCGGGGTGCCCCGCCTGCTTGGTGAGAGCTGGTTGGAATGCATTGCAATGGTTTTCAATAAAGATGGCCTGTTTTGCTGACAATTTGTGTCCATATTCAGTTGGTTGATCCAGGCAGCCCTGTGTATCAGGCTTGAACCCTGAAATTTCCCTAACACATCAATAATAATAATAATTTATTATTTATACCCTGCCCATCTGGTTGGGTTTCCCCAGCTACTCTGGGCAGCTCCCAACCAAATATTCCCCATTTGTTGAATGCTCTTCGCAGGGAGACTTGCTTGGCTCCTTCATTACACCTCTTTTGGCACCAGACAAAAACATTCCTCTTCCCCTAGGCCTTTGGCTAATTAAAGAAACTATGGGCTTTTAAACTGTGTGTGTGGTGGTTGGGTTATTGTTTTATTTGTTACAGTAGAACCTCAGTTGTTTAATGTCTCCATTGACAAATGTTTCGGCTTTCGAACGCCCAAAACCCGGAAGTAACTGCTTAGGTTTTCGAACGATTTTCGGAAGCCGAACATGCCGTCCAGCTTCCGTTTTGAGTTTCCCTGTTGTATTGAGGCTTACGCTTTCAGTTTTCAGACATTTTGGAAGTCGAGTGGTCTTCCGGAATGGATCACATTCAAATACTGAGGTTCCAGTGTATTATGTTATGCGTTTTTATACTGTAAACTGCCCCATGATCCTCAAATGATGGTTGGTAGACAAATTTAATACATTAAATAATAAATAAATGAGTTTTGTTGCATCTCCACTCTGAGCATAATGTGGGAATGTGGAAGCCTGTGGCTGTTGCTTGCTGCGAGGTCCTTTAGCCGCGGGTTATTTATTTATGACTTCCCAGGAGGCACCCAATACTGTTTACAGTACAACAACAAAAGACAAATGGCAGTGGAATGTTTTAAAAGCAGCTAAAATTTTTGCATATATAAAAACCAATTTTAAACAAGTCATATGAATATTAAAAAGAAATCTAAAAAGAGCAACCAACAACAAGAAACCGTATGTCAAACCAATTAAAATCCAATAGAGATGCAAGCCAGGATAAAAGCCTCCATGTAAAAGTCTTGTTGAAAATGTTCAGCAGGTGCCAAAATGACAGTTACCGCTCACGTCCTCCAAGAGTGGGCGGGGTTTGCGACACTGCGCAGGGCTTCCCAGGACCAGGGTGCCACCCACCTTGGCTACAGGATGGCCATGGGGGTAGGCTCCAGGGACAGGGTTTAGCATGTGGGCTCACAATGGCGAACTTCTGTACAGTGGTACCTCGGGTTACAGATGCTTCAGGTTACATACGCTTCAGGTTACATATGCTTCAGGTTACAGACACCGCTAACCCAGAAATAGTACCTCGGGTTAGGAACTTTGCTTCAGGATGAGAACAGAAATCGTGCTCCGACGGCGCAGCAGCAGCAGGAGGCCCCATTAGCTAAAGTGGTACTTCAGGTTAAGACGTAGCTGTCAACTTTTCCCTTTTCTTGCAAGGAATCCTATTCGGAATAAGGGAATTTCCCTTAAAAAAGGGAAACGTTGACAGCTATGGGTTAAGAACAGTTTCAGGTTAAGAACGGACCTCCAGAATGAATTAAGTTCTTAAACCTGAGGTATTTCTGTAGTTGGGTGGCTTGTCTATTGCCTTTTAAGTGCCAGGAAAAGACCTTGGGCATTGAGATTTCTGGCCCCAGAAGAAGGCCAGCTGCTTTAAAGTCAAGTCCAATTAATATTTCCTTTCGGATGGTAGAGGGAGTTTTCCTCACCCTTTCAATGTCAGCATGACTTTTGTTTGCAGGCCATTATGCACCCTTCAAATGTCCTTGAGCTGCAGTTGTACAAGAAAGGATTCAACATGGAAGTAGGGCAGTATGTTTTCCTCAACTGCCCGTCTATCTACTATTTGGAGTGGCATCCATTCACCCTCACATCTGCTCCAGAGGAAAAGTTATTCTCTGTCCACATCAGGGCAGCAGGCGATTGGACAGAGGCTCTGATTGACAACTTTAAGCAGCCGAACCCGGTGATGCCCAGGTGAGTAGCTGCGTAAACCAGCAACCATTTGCCTTCGATGAGGCCATTGGGGGGTGAAGCAGCAGCAACTCCCTCTTATGCTCAGGCTCAGGTACATGAGCTGCTCAGTTACTGTGTGGCCTGCAGATGCGAAGGGCTTTGGAGAGGAGAAATATCAAGGCAGTCCAGCCAAACAGGAAAGAAACTGCTGTACAAATCCAAAAATATTTCCATCATTAGAACAAAGTTTGCAATGGGCCATTGAAGGATGGATTTGGAGACAGGGCGAGGAGAAGGCAAAAGGACTGGGAAAAACATTGGTGGCAAGACAACAATGCCCATTTACACCACAAAGAACTCATAACCCACCTACTTTCAGCAGCCAGAAACACCATAACCAGACACTGGAGAGACCTGTCAGGAGTGAGCATAGACCAATGGTACCAAATAGTATGGGAAACAGCCCTACTAGAAAAATTAACCAATAAACTGAAACTGACACAGGGACAAACAGAAGAAGAGGCCTTTACCCCTGTATGGCTCCCCTTTATCACATACACAGCCCAACAAGACAATGACAATAATCCACCAACAGCATACAAATCAATATGGCTAACCTGATCCAAAACACCCACCCACCCCACGAAAACAAAGACCACCACAGCCAACCACAAATGAACAGCCACACCCTAGGCCAACCCCAACCTCTCTCAACACCAAAGGAACACAAGCGAACAGCATGAGCAACACTGACACCAAACCCTACATACATTAAACAAAATAGAAACATCATCACCTGATCCCCCCCACCCATATCCCCCCCCCAATGTCTCAAGAAATGAAACTGATTTGTAAAAATGTTACATGGAAAAAATATGAGAGACATTACACTTACTTCTGTAAAACAAGAAAATCTTTAATATTTTTTTTTTAAAAAAGGAAAAACCTTGGTGGATAGGCACAGCAGAACTGGTCATAGGTGAGGTCTATGGGTAAAAGGAAGATTATTAGGGGTCTGGCCTGGAAGCGTTAAATGTGGAATGCACCAGAATAACATTCCTGCTAAAGGTAAACTATTTTTTGCAGGCTTTCTTGAGACGGCTTCCCCTGAAAGGCTGCATACTTTCAGTAATAAATTGATTATTGATTCAGTTTGTGGAACTAAATTTTTCTGAGCACAAAGTTCTATGCAGCACATAGATTTTCTCAACTTTCCAGGATTGAAGTAGATGGTCCCTTTGGCACTGCCAGCGAAGATGTGTTCCAGTACGAGGTGGCCATGTTGGTGGGAGCTGGGATTGGAGTGACACCATTTGCCTCTGTGCTGAAATCCATCTGGTACAAGTTCCAGCACGGTGACCAGGGTCTCCAAACAAAAACGGTATGGTGGATCGCCCCATTGCACTGAGACCAATATGAAATAAATTCGGTTTGCTAGAGAATGCTAGTCTTTGAGTTGCAGGGAGTGAAGACTCCCTCTGACATGTAGTATCTCGCAGCCTCAAACTAGGGACAGGTTATATCCCCACCCTGCCCCCGCTCAGAATATTGAAAATGACTGGAAATGTAATTGCATCACCACCCACCTCTTTTCCAAACAATTCTGCAGGTTTTGGATTGCTTCAAAAATGTACAAGCCAGAAACACACATCAAGAAACCAGAAAGATGCAAAAAAGAAAAGAAAACGATAGTGAAATGAAAAAGAAATGGAACTTGTTCTCAAAAGTGCCAACCATTTGGATTTATTAGTGCACCTAAAAGCTTTCAGACTGTTACATGCCACACCAATCTCTGAGTGGTCTGAGATTCCAGGGGTCCAGGCAGTTACCCGGGGTTCGTGTTTCCTTTGGAAATGAGGCACAGGCAGTGGTGCCTTTAGGATATATGGTTCATTTACACAGATAAATAACCTGAGCCTATGATGGAGGAGCTTCTAGCATATTGTACTCTGAGCCCCCTTTCTCCAGTTTTCTGCCACTTGCAAACTGCAACTACTTTTCCTTTTGCGATCTTCCCAAAGACCATGGTGGGGCTCCACCCATTTGCTGGCTTGGTTGATGACTTTCTTAATGGGTTATCTCCCCTTTGTCTCTATTGATGGAGCCAACTGGGTTTATATTTCAACCTGGCTTATATTTTAACATTTGCTGGGTGCAGGAGTTAGAATCATACAATTGTGGAGTTGGAAGGGACCACGAGGGTCATCTAGTCCAACCCCCTGCATTGCAGGAATCATTTGCCCAATGTGGGGCTCGAACCCCCAACCCTGCGACCCCACGGATCACGTTTGCAACCCGAGGTATGACTGTAGCTGTCTTATCTGGCACCATGAGGAAGATGATGGCGTAAGGTAGATAATTAGCATTTGTACAAGCACATTCAACTGTCATAAAACCTAATGGCTAAGCTGTACTGAGGCATATTAGTTGGCATTTTTTTGAACATAACAAAATAGGACAGAAGCAATGAGTGGTGCTGTGGGTTAAACCACAGAGCCTAGGACTTGCTGATCGAAAGGTCGGCGGTTCGAATCCCCGCGGCGGGGTGAGCTCCCGTCATTCGGTCCCAGCTCCTGCCCACCTAGCAGTTCGAAAGCACCACTAAGTGCAAGTAGATAAATAGGGACCGCTTTCTAGCGGGAAGGTAAACAGTGTTTCCGTGTGCGGCGCTTGTGCTGGCTCGCCAGATGCAGCTTCGTCACGCTGGCCACGTGACCCGGAAGTGTCTCCGGACAGCGCCGGCTCCCAGCCTCTTGAGCGAGATGAGCGCGCAACCCTAGAGTCGGTAGGGCAGGGGTACCTTTACCTTTTTAATGAGTATAACGGGACGCGGGTGGTGCTGTGGTCTAAACCACAGAGCCTAGGGCTTGCCAATCAGAAGGTTGGCGGTTTGAATCCCTGTGACGGGGTGAGCTCCCATTGCTTGGTCCCCGCTCCTGCCAACCTAGCAGTTCGAAAGCACGTCAGAGTGCAAGTAGATAAATAGGTACCACTCAGGCGGGAAGGTAAAAGGCATTTCCGTGCGCTGCTCTGGTTCGCCAGAAGTGGCTTAGTCATGCTGGCCACATGACCTGGAAGGTGTACTCCGTCCCCCTCGACCAGTAAAGCGAGACGAGCGCCACAACCCCAGAGTCGTTCGCGACTGGACCTAACGGTCAGGGGTCCCTTTACCTTTAATAACACAATAGGTAACCATGGCTCTGTTGTATCTTCTTAAAAGGTCTCTGTGATGGCACAGGTTGTTGCCTGCACTATGGGAAGGAAGTGGGGAAAACTACCCAGTCAAACCAAGCTCTCCTCCTTAACTCGACCGCTGTCACTAAATGGATGTCTGTTTTTATTAAGTTGACAAAGCAGACGACACAGAGATTTCTCCAAGTAGTTCTTTATAGTAAGCTGGAACTGAACTGAACTGAACACAGCTCAGCCAGCCTGCTTTTATAGGCAGCCGGCTGTCACATTGTAACAACAACAGCCCAGGGTTTCCCGCCTAAATTAACTGATGTGGACCTGAGTGAAAACTATATACACAATACCCCCGATGGCCAGGGTGAGAACTTCAATACATGACAGTTTTCTTTGGCTGCCTCCACTAAACAACTTTTAAAACTCGTGGACTTTAACTGGCCCAACCTGGGTGGAACACTTAAATATTGCTAAACAACAAGCTGCAGACAGGTGTGTGTGTCCCCCAGCATTTTTCTTAAAGCAATAAGTGGGACTGGGGGTGTCGTGTGAGTAGGCCTGCTGGGTGCATTTTTCTGGTGGCGTTGGCAGGGTGGTGTGAGGAGGATGCAACAGGCATGCACCCATCAAATCGGTCCCATCGGACTGATTGGAAGGGCGCATGCCTACCCGGCTGTGTCCTCCTCACGTTGCCCTCCATGCCCCCCCCTCCCACTGGGCACCATGAAGACACGCCCTACCACTGAGTTGGACAGTTTAGAGAAAATGGTTTTAGGGGAAAATGCATTCTAATTTTATAAGAACAAATGAAAATAACCAGAAGTAAGTGTGCCCGGCTATGCTTATTCTGGGCTTTTCCCAACCAAGCCAGTAGTTACCACCTTGTACCCCTCAGTTCATCCCTTCATAATCCTTTCCTAGTTTTGTCTTCCTGCTGCTCTTCAGCTTTAAAAGTCTTGCTCCACGACCTTCTGACCCCACAATAACTGTTTTACTCAGTTTCCTAGCTTGCTTATACAGTGGTACCTTGGGTTACAGACGCTTCAGGTTACATACGCTTCAGGTTACAGACTCCGCTAACCCAGAAATAGTACCTCGGGTTAAAAACTTTGCTTCAGGATGAGAACAGAAACTGTGCTTCGGTGGCGCAGCAGCAGCAGGAGGCCCAATTAGCTAAAGTGGTGCTTCAGGTTAAGAACAGTTTTAGGTGAAGAACAGACCTCCGTAACGAATTAAGTACTTAACCTGAGGTACCACTGTATATGCAGTTTGTCTCTCCCAACCTTCAGTCACTCAGAAGGCGAATAACCTTCAGTTTTACTTTTTATTTTCCCTTAATCACCTGGTTAACTAGGCTGAATCTTTGACCCTCCCCTGCAAAAATTTCCTGAATGAAACTTCCTCTTCACCTTTTAGTTTTGCTTTGAAACTTTGTCTTTCCTGTGCCTTTAAAATGAAAAACAACATTAAAAAAAACCATTTTGCAATCAAAAGACAAACACAAAGATGGGATGGGCAGTATGCAGTGCTTTTTTAAAAAGAAAAGAAAAAAGTTGCTGGTACTCACCACAAAGTTGTTACAGTATGTGCCATGTTTTTAACCTTTGGTGAAAAAAAGTTGCCAATACTGCGTATCCTTGGGTACCACCAGGAGGGGGTGGGGAAAACACTGGGTGTATATGTAAAATGGAACTGGGTCTAATTCTGAAATGCCCTTGCTGTTGCTAAATCTTTGTGTTTCTCAGTTAACAGTTATAAAGGTTAAAGAGAGACATTTGTTCTCATTATGGAGCTCTGGGAAGCCAAAATGTGTATAATTCGTAGCACCAAGTCTGCAGTTCCCAGGTGTGAAGGAAGGCGCGACAACTAAGCTATTACACAACCAGTATAAATTTGTAGCATACCCATAGCCTCTCTCTTGCTTCATCCCCCATAATCCTTCTACTTCACAATAGAAAAATAAAAAAGCAGCAGCAAACATTGCAAAGCTGCTAGTGCCGTCCACAGTCAGCTAACCAACCTACTCCTTGCAAACCATTGTCTTAAAAGTTGTCTCCAGTTTCAATAGCTCTTCTCTTCCTCTGTGTTCCTGTGTTCTTAAGATTTACTTCTACTGGATCTGTCGAGAGACAGGGGCCTTTGCCTGGTTCAGGGATCTGCTGGCCTCTCTGGAACAAGAGATGGATGAGTCTGGCAGGGCAGGCATGCTCAGCTACCATCTCTACCTCACAGGCTGGAACAGCAGTATGGTGAGTCACGCAGCATCCCCCTTGTGAACTTGCTTCCATTGGCAGGCTGTGCACACCCTTCTCAGAAGAGCAAGCTTCTGAAAGTGCCCTGATCCTTTTGTCAAGGAAACACACACAAAACGTGCAGCAGCTTTTGTTTGAGACGTCAGCAATGTACCACATTGTCCTTTTGCAAGGGCTGAAGTTCGAAGCATAGCTGTCAACTTTCAGATTTGAAAATAAGGGATCAGCAGCCTCGAAAATAAGGGATCAGCAGCCTCACCTGTCCTGGGGACAGTCCACGGGATATCTAACAATCTGGGATAGCAGCGGGAAACAGCACTGGGATAAGGGAATTTCCTGCAAAAAAAGGGAAGGTTGACAGCTATGGTTCCAAGGCACTTTCAAGTACCAGTCTCTTCTAGAGCAGCTATGAGGCAGCGGCACTTTCTGATTTCTGCTGTGCCACCACAACTCTGATCATCCCTGTCCGCTGCTGGAGCTGCTGGGAGTTGGACTCCAACAATACGTGGATGGTTGGAGGTTAGGATGGCCAGTTGTGCATTGCCCCCCCAAAAGAGGATTAGCTTCACACACACAAAATAGCCGATAAAAGATGGGATCAATTTGCATAAAATGTATTGACGCAAATCTGGAAATATTTACTAGAATTCAGAGAGAAATATCAATGCAGTAAGCCCGCAACTTAAAATCACTTTTCTTATGCGATGGCATCCCTATGCAGGTATCTGAAATAAATAAATAAATAAATAATAGAGAAAATTCTGAGAAAATCAAAATACACAGTTGAAAAACGTTGGGAGGCGGGAGAATGGAACACAACAGTTGGCAACAGCCATTTCACTCACCTTGGGAGTGTGTTTGGGCATCGTCAGAGAGTTGGAGCTGGAGAGTGAGGTAAAGGTAAAGGGACCACTGACCATTAGGTCCAGTCGTGGCCAACTCTGGGGTTGCGGCACTCATCTCGCTTTATTGGCCAAGGGAGCCAGTGTACAGCTTCCGGGTCATGTGGCCAGCATGACTAAGCCGCTTCTGGTGAACCAGAGCAGCGCACGGAAACGCTGTTTACCTTCCCGCCAGAGTGGTACCTATTTATCTACTTGCACTTTGACGTGCTTTCGAACTTCTAGGTTGGCAGGAGCAGGGACTGAGCAATGGGAGCTCACTCCCTCACGGGGATTCGAACCGCCGACTTCTGATCGGCAAGTCCTAGGCTCTGTGGTTTAACCCACAGCACCACCCGCGTCTCACGGAGAGTGAGATAGGGCCTTGCAAAAGCACGGAGAGCAAGCAGTTAGAGGTGATCTGAGAAAGAGGATGTGCAGGGTTTTGTTTTTGTTTTTTACATTTTTGGGGTTTTTTTACGGGTTGTTTTAAGGTGTTTTCCAGGCTTTATGTGCTTGGACGTTTGCATGTGGTTCCCAGGAGCAGAACCCTTGCATAAATTGTAGGGTTACAAGGGCAGCCACACTAAAAGCCCTGTTCTCAGAAGTCTGCTCCCCAGTAACTTGAGAGATCTTTGGAACTTGCAGGAGAAGCTGCAAGTACTCTTTGGTGAGAGAACCCCAGCAGAGATTTGAAGTTTCAAAACATGCGGCAAAGTAAAGCGTGGAAATATAGGTTGTAAAGCTTTAAAATGTGCTCTTTAAAGCGAGTTCCAAAAGTTCCCTAAAAAGTTTCTTTCCAAAGTTTCCCTCTTCCCCAAGCATAGGGAAAAGACCACACGTGTGGTAAGTTAAGAAATAGTTTACTAACAAACTCTCCAAAGGTCTATTCTGCACTTCAGAATAGTTGCACAGGCTGTAAAACTAAGCTTAGTTACAAAATGGTGAAAGTTCCTAAATTATTAGTATCAGAATGCAGGAATGGCATGCAACAGCCATGAATTTGAGAAGGAGCAACCAGCTCAAACCTCTTCACCCGCTGAGCTTCTCAGGTAGACTAGGAGACACCAAAAGCTTGATTACTTAGTTCCTCCCATGGTAAGGGGAAGTGGACACATCTAAGCCTGGCAGAACAGCTTAGTCTATGCTATTAACCCCTTCCTGCATTAATCAGACTTAAGCATGTTGGTTATATGAAGCTCATTTCCCCGTAATCTGCACAAACTTTCCTCCTTAAAAGTGATACCATAGCCCCTTGCCTCTGGAGCAGAGCCTCAGAAAATGGCCTGGGCAGGTTCCTTTGGGAGCAGAGTGCTTGTTCAGATACCCAGGGGCCAAGCATCTATAGTTTGTGCAGCAGACAATGGCGGAGGAAGCCTCTGCAGCCCCCAGGGCAGGATTGCGCATGCGTGGCACCCATGCGGATACCGTGTGTGTGCCCTCAGCTGCTCTATAGCTGGGGGGGGCAGCGGGCCATCTTGTCACACTCCCCCCAGGGTGGCACCAGGGGTGAGCTGCCCCTCCCACACCTGCCTTCGTATGCCCTGGCAGCAGAAGGAAGGGCAGAATCCTGGACTATGTACAGCCAGACTTAATATTCCATGAAAACTACTGTGCTGAGATCCATAACTTAGCCCGTTAGCATGAACATCAGAAAGCAGCTGAAGGGTCAATTTTAAGAAATTGTATGAAATACTTATGCAGCTGCTGTGAGGCCTGCCCAATTTTTTGCTGCTTTTCTAGGTTGGTCACGCAGCGGTCAACTTTGACAGGTCCACCGACATGGTGACGGGCCTGCGGCAGAAAACTTTCTTTGGGAGGCCCATGTGGAGCAATGAATTCTCAGCGGTGGCAGCTGCCCATCCCAGGTGAGGTCTGCTGCTGTGTTCCCAGGTTGTCGGAGCGGAGTCCATAGCTATACATACAGATCTCCTTTCTGTTGCTCCCATTTGTTGGGAATTCCGCAGAAAAGACAGCCAGATCCTGTCATCTAAATGGAATGATTCAGCTTGCACAACATTGCTGCGTATTATTCTTCCCTTCTCCCTTTCCTCAAAGCAATCCATTAGTAACCTTTGTTTCCTGACATTAATTGCTTCTTCCTTGGGCTTTGCAGGTCTGTAGTGGGTGTGTTTCTGTGTGGCCCAGAGAGCCTTGGCTAAGACTCTGCAAAAGTACTGCCATCAACACTCCAGCCTAGATCCCAGAAACGTCCAGTTTTACTTCAATAAAGAGAATTTTTAAGTCAAGCACAGGAATACCGCTCCTCCCCAGCACGTCTTGCAGCCAGAAACTGGCCAAACTTGTGGGCCTGAATGCTGCCAAATGCTGTTGTTGTAGCTTGACCCAGACTCCGGACCTCTGCACGGCATTGTTTTGGCAGGACCACCCACCCTTGCCCCAATATGCTTCTTTGGGCAAAAGCTGCAGACTACAAACATTTTCAAGTAGGAGATGGGGGTGTTATTGGGTTGTTCCTTGTTTTTATTCTTACATGTATTGTGGTTTTATATTACCATTTTATGTTGTCATTTTATATTGTCATTTTATGTTGAGACCTGTGGGTATAGGGCGGTATAGAAATTTAATAAATGAATAAATAAAATAAATAATTTTCTGATTTAATGGTCCATCAATAAACCAGCAGTTTCTGCAATCATCTCGGCTTTAAAGGAGTTGCCAGTTGAAAAACCAAGTTGTTAACAAAGAGACTCTGAAATGCACTGCATTCTCTATGTTTGATCCTTCCTTAATCTGCACAGGACATGAATCTCTAGTTTGAAATCCTATGGCTGAAAAATGTATTCTGTGGCTAAATATTCAGAACTGTAATGCTCTCTCTTAATACCTCTCATGATACCTGCCCTTTAATGGGTAAGGCCAAAATCATGATACCTCCCATGCACTGCCCTTTAATGGGTAAGGCCAAAATCAGTTCAGACACCAAATATGCATTTGCACACTGTATTAAAGCAATCAGCCTGCCAGGGAGATCTTTGTCCCCTGAAAGGATTCCTCCAGTGAGAAAATTGCAAGGGCAAACTTCATAAAAAGCACAGAGAGGGAATCTGATGAGGAATTGTTTTATTGCTGAGTGATGGACTTCAAGGATCAATTAATCTAGCTGTGTGCAGTCTATGATGCTGGTGTCCCTGGAAAGGTATATGCAGCAGGGAAAGACTTGTTTGATTTTCCAGGGAACTGGGACTGCCCCCCCCATGAGGGAAGGTGAGGCAACTGCCTCATGTGGCAAGATCCAAGGGGTAGCAGATTCAGCTTCTAAGAAATGCATTGCTCAGTGCTGCTGCTGCTGCTGCTGCTGCAACTGTGGTGGCAGACACAGCTGTGGTGTACTCCTTGGAGGCCAGAACGGCTGCCTCCTTGGCAGCACCCCCTACATGCTGCCGCTGCTGTGTCCTCTTGGTGAATGGGAGGGGTCTCCCACCCCTAGGGAGAAAATAGCAGGGGCTGACCTCTGTAGTCTCCTGGACTGCACACTTGCTTGTCGTGATTCAAAGTGGGCCCATTCTCAAAGACTCTATGATGGGGGAAAGTCCATTCTATTCCCCTCCTTGTTCCCAGTGTAGATCTTCACCCAACCCTTCTTCCCTGGCAAGGGGCATTTTGTGGTTCGCCTCAGGTGCCCAAATGTCTTGGGCTTGTGCTGTGAGAAGCACCTCATAGCCTAGTCAAGGGTGGCTAAACTGTGGCCTTCCAGCTGTTGGACTCCAGCTGCCATCAGTCCTAGGCAGCGTAGCCAATGGCAAGGAGTGGTGGGGCCAGTAGTCCAACAGCATCTAGAAGATGAGTTACCCACCCCTGACTTAGAGATCAGTCTTCAGCACCAGGAATCTGTGGGCTTGTATATCATAATGTATGTTTAATTTCTTCTTTAAAAAATAAATGAGAGGGGGGATGATGGAAAGCATAAATGGGAATCCTTTTTTGTTTTGCAGGTTAGATGTTGTCCAGGGACAAAATGGTCCGGTGCCACATTCTCACACAAAAAAATTCTTGTGAGCATGTAGCCACCTTAGCTCTTGGGAGAAAATATTGGAATTAAATGTGGGTCTCATGTTGCAGATTTGGGTTAACCGGCTTCAGAGCTGTGGTGAGGGAACTGTGTCCCTTCTGATGCTGTTGGACCTCAACTCCCATCAGCCCCAGCCAACATGGCCAGTGATGATGGGAGTTGCAGTCCAACATTGGGAGGGTCAAAGGTCCCGCTTCCCTGTGTTGGTGCATGCATGTGCATGTATGGAGGGAATGAGTGTCCTCTAGCCCTGACAGGGTCCTCTCGATAACATGCCATGTTAGGACAGAATGGGTGCACACTTTGCTGACCCTCCTCAGTGGTCATGGAACAAACTTTCCTCAGCAGTCCATAAAGAAGTCCTATCCTGCCCCATTTTTCAGGAGTGCTGTAGGAGTTCCTTGTCTGGGTCAGCTTTTACTTTGCTGGTTAGATAAGAGTAGGAGAATTTTAATCTAGTGCCTTTGAAAAAATAATTGGGCAGCAGTGGGGATGACACAAAAGGCAGAATGTGTGGAAACGACTTCATGGGAACGTAAGCTAAGCTTTGATCTACAAGGGAGGATGAGGTGACTGGGGAAGCAAGTGCAATACAGATGTACAACAAGCCACACGGTTTTGCCAAACCCAATTTTTAATTGAAACTCAAGGAAGTAAACAAAATGACGGGAGAAGTAAGATAAACAAGGGGAAGGGAGCCCCCTTCCCCTCAGTACTGCTCTGGTTCAGACATAGGAAGGGTGTAGAAGCCATTTTCTATGCTGTCTTCAACATGCCATTTGGTTAGACTTTTTTCAAAAGGATTCTACAGTGGTATCTCAGGTTACATAAGCTTCAGGTTACAAATGCTTGAGGTTACAGACTCTGTTAACCCAGAAATAGTACCTCGGATTAAGAACTTTGCTTCAGGATGAGAACAGAAATCATGCTCCGATGGCGCGGTGGCAGCAGGAGGCGCCATTAGCTAAAGTGGTGCTTCAGTGGTGCTTAACAGTTTGAGGTTAAGAACGGACCTCCGGAACGAATTAAGTTCTTATCCCAAGTTACCACTGTATTAACAAGATGGATCAGGCTCCCATCACACCAATCTGCTGCTGAGAAACACCTAAACGTTGAGTTCAGCCGGACTGATCCCTGAAAGGAGAAAGAGAAACAGCTGTTCAACATATGGACCACTAATGGAACAAGCAGCAAAAGCTAAACTGCAGAGAAGTTGGTGAACATTTGTGAGGGAATTTGTGGGCAAAAGACCAATTAGGGACTATGAAGGGTACTGAGAGGGCAGTTTGCTGCTCTTTAAAGGTTGGGCATGCATCAGTTTGGAGCTGCTTGGAGTAAGGAATGGTGCCTTGCTCCATGTCCGGCTGCTGGCTACACTTGCCATCAGATCTTTTGCAATTCTGCAGTTGCCAATGAGCATGCCTCCGAGTGCTCTTCCAAGCCTGCCATTCAACCATTGTTTTTCTTTGGCTTTTTCAGCATAGTTTTCTTCATATGGAAGGTCTTCTAGAAGTGCTAGAGAAACATGTTGAGGCATATTAAAGAACTGTGCCTCTTTGCCGACCCTTTATAGAAATCTGGGACTGTGGGCACAACCTTTTCCCCCAAAGGTGCAATGTTCCAAGACTCTGAAATGGTCAGCTGAAGATTAGGGCATGGGGGTGTTTGTACACCTGCCTTCATTTCAAGGGGGTTTGAACAGGAGAAATAAGTGCTGGATTCTGCCCTTTAGTATAACTGATTGTTCATTGGAAAAAGAAGGCAATGGGAGTACATTAACTAGCACAGCCTTTGCTAATGAGATGATCGACTGGGTGAGACTGTGAAGCAAGTGCCATCCAAGCTGGGCTTGGCACGGTCTTAGGATGTTTTGTAGAGCCCAGCTCCCCTCTTACCCCATGGCGCTGTCGGAGCCATTCGGTGTATCGTCTTTCATTTCGAAAGTACTCAGCCATTCCTCTGAATGAAAATTAGCCAACTCTTCGTCCGTCATATTGAGGAATTGTTCAATGCATTCGGCCTATGGAGAGATGAAAGAAACTGATAAGGATGCATTCAGACCAATATGTTTTTTCAGTAGAAAAGACGGTAATCTCTTTGGGATTTTTCAGAGTGGTTATTAAACCGTGGTCACTTATTCTCTCCCTCTGTCCCCCACATAACCATAGCATTAATAACCATGCTGACAATTGCATCTGAACTGGAGATTCACAGATTCACAGAATTGTAGAGCTGGGAAGGATCCCAAGGGTCATCTAGTCGAAATCTCAACACACAGCCCCCCATCCCATTTGAAACCAGACTTACCCTGCTTACCTTTGCAAACGTGCTAGCAGTTGCTGCACCACTAGGAGACTCAAGCGGGCCATTTCGGTCCCATGTTAAGAAGTGGGTAAGCTAATAAGCAAGAAGGGTTATATTGTCTCCAGGATGAGAGGAAGCCTACCTCTGTGTACCACTTGCCGGATTGTGAGTGGGAGAGTGCTACAGCTTTCTTTTCCTGCTTGTGGAGTTTCCAAAGGCACTTGGCTGGCCACTGTGAGAACAGAACACTGGACTAAATAGACCTTTGATCTGACCCCAAATCACCTGCACTCTAATTGGAACAAGTGGTGAAATTCTTGCTGCTCATATTTCTTTTCTTATTTCAGAAATCATAGTTTATTATACACAACTTATATAGCAACACCCCCCCCCAATATTAGGACAGCATATTACACTCTAAAAGCTAGTTTGAAAAGATCTGCAAAGCACATTACATCAACATATTAGAGGGATGTGTTCTACCACACTCATTCCAGAGTTTGGGGGTAGCTGCTGAAAAGACCTTGATGCTACTGCCAGTGGTATTGCCCCCCAGCACTGGCCAGCAGCATTTAGCTGACCTTCTGTCACTGGTGCCACTGCGGAGTACAGGGAGGGAGGGGGCCATGAGGTGGGGGACTGGTGGGACCACAGGATTGGCCCCACCAGTGCATTTTGCACTGTTCTGACCTCACCTGTGATGGGTCAGGTAAGTGCTGCCACCCCATCCTGCAGACTGTCGCTGCTTGCCTCTTTAATAGAGAGCTCAAAGAAGGCAACATTGTTTGGCTTACGTCATCTGTATCCAGGTGTTCTCCTTCATCTTGGCCAGGACTGAAGCCCTCAGGTTGGCTGGCTGCTTGCTCGCTTGCTCCTGGCATGCCTGCAACTTGTTCTGCTGCTGCTATAGGCATGCTGACCACCTGTGAACACAAAGGAAGATTTCAGAAAGTTTGCTGACCCCTCCTCAATCATGTGGTTTACATGGACAACATTCACATGGTGTCTGAAAACAGCTCCAGACACTACTAGCTGCACTACCTCTGGACACTAAGAGCTGGGAGACACGCATGGGGAAAATAAAGGGCAGTTATTTGATTAGAAAAGCACACAGGGACATGGTCCACTGTCCCATCACTGGAGGCAATTTAACTTCTGAATACCACTTCAAAAGAAATAAAGTGCCACTCCTGCTCCTTTGTCCAATCCATGGATTTTCCTGCCAACATCACGTAAAGGAGAAGTATGTTGACAGCTGGGGAAAGTTCAGGAGAGTACCGGGCAACAGAGGCAGAAGGGTGCATGACAGCTGGCCTGAAATCCCTGATACAATTTCCAAAGGTAGGAACTTAGCTCTCTCTAATGATCTCTCTCATTGCTGGGTTTCAGCCTTTGCACTGCGAGCAGTTTTCTGCTTTGAAGGTGCAGGGCCTGCCAGAGTGTTTGCCTTTTCTTTCAGGGCAGAAGTTGGGCACCTGTGACACAGACACCCCCCCCCCCAGTAATCACTGGCCAAACTGGCTGGGGCTGATGAGAGCTGGAGTCCAGCAACACCTGGAGGGATGCAAGTTCCCCATCCTAGAGTCATATCTAAGTGATAGGTCAACCACTGTAGCCCCCCCCCCCCGCTGCTCAGGAACAAAAAAGAATGGGGGTAATGATGAAAATTGCACCTACCCACTCCCATCTCCATTGGGAAATAAATCACTATACCAATCGTCTGGCCATGACCCTATGAGGCTGTTCATGTTCTGGCACCAAGAATGTGTCTAGGAACCCATTGGGGAATATGAAACAGCACACGGTTACTCCACATACCTGTTGAGGTTCCTGCAGATCAGTTGCTGCCTTGCTCAAAGCTCCAGGACCTTGAATTTCTCCAGTCGTTGGCTCCATGCCCTGGGGAGGCTCTATGGCTTTGGGTTCCATGCCCTGGGGAGGCTCTATGGCTTTGGGTTCCATGCCCTGGGGAGGCTCTATGGCTTTGGGTTCCATGCCCTGGGGAGGCTCTATGGCTTTGGGTTCCATGCCCTGGGGAGGCTCTATGGCTTTGGGTTCCATGCCCTGGGGAGGCTCTATGGCTCTGGGAGCTATTCCATGAGGCTGTGTGCCTTGATTGTTCATGACTCTAGCTGGCTCCATGGCTCTAGGGAGCAACATGACCAAGAATTCCATCTGTCTGGCCTCCGTGCCTTGATAATTCATGGCTCTGGGGGGCACGATGACTATAGGGAGCACCTTGACCACGTATTCCCTCCATCTGGGCTCCATGCCTTGATAATTGATGGCTCTGGGATCTATTCCATGAGGCTGTGTGCCTTGATAGTTCATGCCTCTAGGTGGCTCCATGCCTCTAGGGAGCACCTTGACCACGTATTCCACCCCTCTGGGCTCCATCCCTTGATATTCCATTCCTCTGGGCCTCATGCCTCTAGGGGGCTCCATGTCCCTCTCTCCCATCTCTCCCCTGCCTCTAGTGGGCGCCCTGTCCCTCACTCTGCACTCCATGACTTGAAATGTCATGTGTCTGGGCTCCCTGCCTCTAGTGGGCACCATGTCCCTCTCTCCCATCTCTCCCCTGCCTCTAGTGGGCACCACGTCCCTCTCTCTGCGCTCCATGCCTTGATATTCCATGCGTTGGGGCTCCCTGTCTCTAGTGGGCACCATGTCCCTCTCTCCCATCTCTCCCCTGCCTCTAGTGGGCGCCACGTCCCTCTCTCTGCGCTCCATGCCTTGATATTCCATGCGCCGGGGCTCCCTGCCTCTAGTGGGCACCATGTCCCTCTCTCCCATCTCTCCCCTGCCGCTAGTGGGCGCCACGTCCCTCTCTCTGCGCTCCATGCCTTGATATTCCATGCGTTGGGGCTCCCTGCCTCTAGTGGGCTCCACGTGCCTCTCTCCCATCTCTCTGCGCTCCATGCCTTGATATATCATGCCCCTGCCATCCATGCCTCTTCCACCTGCATTGAAGACAATTACACTTACACAAACAGTGCTGGGAGTTACCTGCCCAAGACCATGCAAGGTGCCCATGCCAATACAGTGAAAATGCCCACCTACTACAGGAATAGAGGAGCTTTGAATGAAGCTTCATGTATTTCAGACAGAAGTGGGCTCCCTTCAGACAGAAGAAGGCAATAGGTGTAAGAGTGCAGAGACGCATTTCCTCACACACCCTTGGAAGCAGTGGTGCTGATTATGATGGCACGGGGGGGGGATTTTTGGACCTCTTTGTCCTCCCATAAGGCCTACTCTCCCCAGGGCATAATGTTTAAGGAACTTAATAATCATTGCCTGAGATCTAGCAACTCAATCAAAATTGTCACTTTAAATGCTGTCTCTTATTCATCAATATTTTATAATTTGGCACTTCCGAACAGGCATTTATTCTGTTTAGATCCAATTATTAACAAAAATGTCTGCAGAGAATTTGCTGTTCTGCTAAGACGTTGCATTAGATAACAATAGGATTAAGAGTGTTTCTTTTTCTTGTGGATACATTTCCGTTTTATTTTATTGAATTTTTATTTTCTTTTTTAAAGTATGGATAGCATTATGCTTTACTTTTACAATCTCCATTGAGTTTAAGGAAAGTATGAGGGAACTAAAAATGGATTGCACCAGCCTGGTTTAACACCCTTTGTGCTTTGATTTTTTGTGTGTTTATAGTTTACAGGGTTCCTTAGCCAGGATGTTTCTAGGAAGTGTTTTTCAATATGATCCTCTGTAACATGGTATACCCCTTATTATTATTTATATTTGTTATTGTGCAGTATATTGTATGAGATACAGCATTGTTTATTTTAGCTACACTGCTATTTGTTTCATATATCACCCCTGCCGATGAATCCCTTACTGTGCTGTGATTTATACCGGTAAATGATCCTTCTCATTTAAGCCTGAAACCTCTTACCTTGGACATACATCAAGGGCACTTGACTATGTCCTCTCATTGGTCCGCCACTTGTTACACGGGGTGGCGGTCCACGGGTGTCATAACCAGCCATGCCGTGCATGGGGGGACCCTGGTAGAGAGACCTCTGGTGCATTGTCACAAGATAATCCCTGCAGAAGAGGATGAGAAGCAAGGAGGCGGTGGGAGAAGACATCAGAAAATCTAGGGAGAGAAGACTGACAGCACAGTACTATTCCAGTACAAGTGCATCACCTCTGTGCCACCGCTTTGCTCAAGAAGCAACATGCACTGTCCTAAGTCAGGCTGCGAAGGACAAAGTGCCGCCTTTGGGAAATTCCCCCTGGATGTCAATTCTGCCATTGAAATCCCAGTCATGTCCAGGAAAATCCGGGCGAATGGCAGCCCAAGCTTGAGAAGGAACATGCACTGTGCTAAGTCAGGTTGCAAAGGGGCATAGCTGTCAACTTTCAGATTTGAAAATAAGGGATCAGCAGCCTCACCTGTCCTGGGCAGAGTCTAAGGGATATCTAACAATCCGGGATAGCAGTGGGAAGCAGTTGGAAACGGTGCTGGAATAAGGGAATTTCCTGCAAAAAAAGGGAAGGTTGACAGCTATGCAAAGGGATGGTGTGTGTATCACATGACTGTTATTTTGTACAGTGGTGCCCCGCAAGACGAATGCCTCGCAAGACGGAAAACCCGCTAGATGAAAGGGTTTTCTGTTTTTGAGTTGCTTCGCAAGACGATTTTCCCTATGGGCTTGCTTCGCAAGACGAAAACGTCTTGCAAGTCTTGCGATTTTTTTTCGCTTCCCCCCCTTTTTCTAAGCCGCTAATCCGCTAATAGCCTTTTAGCCGCTAAGCCGCTAAGCCTTTAATAGCCGCTAAGCCGCTAAAACGCTAATAGCGCTAATCCGCTAAGCCGCTAATAGGGTTGCTTCGCAAGACGAAAAAACCGCTAGACGAAGAGACTTTTCGTCTTGCGAGGCACCACTGTATCCCCAAACCCACAAACACAGTACCGTGGTACCTCGGGTTACATATGCTTCAGGTTACATACGCTTCAGGTTACACACTCCGCTAACCCAGAAACAGTGCTTCGGGTTAAGAACTTTTCTTCAGGATGAGAACAGAAATCGCGCTCCGGTGGCACGGCAGCAGCAGGAGGCCCCATTAGCTAAAGCGGTGCTTCAGGTTAAGAACAGTTTCAGGTTAAGTACGGACCTCCGGAATGAATTAAGTACTTAACCCGAGGTACCACTGTAATCATAAAACCCCTGCATTCACGTCCCCCAACAGCAAACAATATGGCTAACCTGACCCAACAACCTACCCCCCACCCCCACCCCCACCCCACCCACACATACAAACAAGCCACACTGCAATCACCTGAATGCAACCAACCAAGCTCAACCCCTTAATCTCATGCATTATCAATAAAAATAAATAAATAGATACATAAACAAAGGAACTCCCCACATGATGCTGACACAAACCCCTACACTAATAAAAGGCAACAGAAAAATAACCCCATCTCTTCCCCAACTGAAAGCTGTCTATGACAAAGGTCTATCGCACCAATTGTAAACAGTGAAAAAGACTATGAAATGAAAGTGGAGACAACAGATGTACCATTCACTGTTGAGCTATTTGTTTTGTAACACAAAAAAACTTCCGTAAATTTTTTTTGAGAAAAAACACACAACAACCCAATTCAGAAATTGGTAACACCAAGAGAAAGGCTTACACAGTCTAGCAATGTCTTCAGATATGCTAGTGTTCAACCTGTAGGAAATCTTTCTGCACAGTGCAGCATGCAAACATGGGGAACCAGCCCCCAGGTGGATCACTTCCGACACCTCAATCAGCAACAAACAGGAGAACCGCTCAATGCTATTCTGCAAACATGCATCACCCCAATAAGCCCAACAACCTCCCTCCCTCTCCCTCTCTCATAAAGCTCCTGAAGTCCTATACATGAGCTTGTGCAAATCACAATTCCCCCCTTCATTATTTATTGTAAGTAATAAATATTAGTTGAACATTTAACATTCAATCAACCAACCTAGGACTTCCCATCCATGGCTTCCCCAAAGTTCCAATTCTTACTGCATATTATATTTATTCTATGCCTTAGCTTCTTCACAAAAAACTCCACCAGACTTTCCACTGCAGTTCTTACTCAAATCCTACTTGCATTTTAACATGTTACCATTGAGTTTAAAAAATCTACATTTTCCAGTCCTCCTTAAAGTCAGTCTCTTTTTGATCTCTAATTTTCCAAGTCAAACTTGCCAGTTGTACACATTCTGTCAATTGCAGTTGCCATTCTGTTTTAGTAGGTACAGTCTCCTCAAGCCATTTTTGTGCATATAATATTCAGATAATATATATTCCCAACAAAATCAACTGTTAAAGCCAGCTATGTTCTTCATTCAGAATATGCTAGTGTCCTGACTCTTCCCAACCATTAAAATCCAGGCAGTGGACGAGGAGGGCAAAAGCACTCTCCAAGACCAGAAACAGAGAGGGACCCCTGCTTTCAGATGCTGTCAGTCATCAAATGGAATTTCTCCAGATGACACTGGGTGGCTCTCTCTTTTTAGAGGAGAGCATTGCTGAAGAAATAGGAAAGATCAAAACCTTAAGGTTACTCGGCTCTGTAAAAGATTCCCCTTATTGTGGGCTGGGACCACAATTTCCTACAAAGATAACTCTTACGGTTGTTGAAAAGGACTAGTTCGGAATGAGGAAGGGAAACCCCTTTGAGATTTTAATTGCATCCCATAACATTGGTTGTGGCCAGCCTAGTTCTACATTCCAAGTCCCAAATTTTGCCCAGACTCACCAGAGCTTCAGTATCGTGCCTTCTCCGCTGAGAAACTGTTGGGAAATGTGAGAGGAGGTCAGGAATAATATTGTGTTGAATCAACTGCTGCATACACAACCTTGATTCAAAAGAAGTGGCAAAGCACGATTGGCTGCTTTTTCTACCCCATGGTATCTTCCAATGTTGTTATCTGTTACAAAGCTTCTCCATTCCGTTCAAGGATGTCTGGTGTAGGCTTGTTTTTATTCCATCTAACTTTTTGTCCTCAATGCAAATGATTAAATTATTTTGGTTTCTTCCAGCTGCTCCTGGCGACAAAACTAGGGGAAAGGATACCCTGCCTTGCTTCCAAAGAGTCCAGGGTTTTTCCCTGCTCACCCAGACCTGCACAACACCACTTGTGAGGCCGCTTACTGTATGTCAAGAGATAGCAAGTGGCCCAAAGTCACCCAGGGAGCTTCATGGATTTCCTCAGTTCTAGCCACCACAGCACACTGGTTTTCAGCCTGTTTAAGGAATGTAGAAAGTAGACCCCCATCCTCCAACACAACAGCAATCAAACCACTGACATGCAGGCAATACAGTGTTCAGATCTGCACATAATGCTAACCCTTGGATTCTTTAACAAACTACAAGCTAACATGAGTTGTTCCACAGATGTCACACCATAGCTTGCTCTTGCTTTGTGACTTTGTAGTTTATCTAGTGCAATCCTTCACATAGTTTCTTGAAAATGTCATGGAAATAGGTAAGATCTAACTTATATTAAATCAACAGATGGGACCATTGATAACCAACAAGGTGTCTATTGGGTACCCTTTATTAATTCTGCTGCAGCAGGACAGCACCTTGAGAGCCAGTGTGGTATAGTGGTTAAGAGCGGTAGACTCAACTGGGTTCATGTCTCCACTCCTCCACATGCAGCTGCTGGGTGACCTTCGGCTAGACTCTGAAGTCTCTCAGCCCCACTCATCTCACAGAGTGTTTGTTGTGAGGGAGGAAGGGAAAGGAGAATGTTAGCCGCTTTGAGACTCCTTCAGGTAGTGATAAAGCAGGGTATCAAATCCAAACTCTTCTTCTTCTCTAGGTCAAATCCCAAAAGCACTGCCCAAGCAAGGAAATCATCAAGACTTTTATACAACTTTGTAACTAGTAAATTATTAGTAAATATTAGCAAAAAAATGCATCAAAATGAGTGAAGAAAGTTTGCCTCACCCTGCCTCACAGGTGGGCCAGCCCTATGTTACAGAGAGCCTTGGAGAGTGCAGTTGCAGGTGAGGGATACCTTGATAGAAAGCCCCTCCTCACCTCAAACTTGTCAGTAGGTCGGCCTGGAAAAGTGGGATCATAACTAGGCACTGATGGATTATCTGCTTTACCCCAAACTTGTTTCAACATCATCGTGCCACCTCCTGCCATGCCACCTGGGGAGAAAAATAGTCATCAAAGGAGGCATTAGGTGGATTATGAGGATGGGTGGAGGGGAAATGTCAGGAAAAAAATAAAAGCAAACTCGGTGATTTAAAACCACTCTTGCAAATAAGTCAACAACAAGCCTGCAATTTATTTCTTTCTACTAGTCTGCTATGAGACTAGAATTGTAGAATCATAGATCTGGAAGGGACCTCAAGGGTCATCTAGTCCAAACCCCTGCCATGCAGAAATCACCACCTTCTGATGGATTTGAGTAGATGGATTGAGTGTTAAATGAGAATTATTGTGATTTTGGCACAAGCCAAAATCTGCTTTGCCTTTTTCAGTCCTTAGCTGAAAATATGCAAACCACAAGGGTTTTTGGTAAGGAACAAGTGGACAGTGATGAGACAAATTCATGGGGAAGGAGGGTCCACACAGTGGCTGGTGCTCAAATGGCTGAACAGAACATTCACAGTCAGAGAGTCTACGTAGAATAATCAAGTGTCAAGGGTCTTCGCTTCGGGTCTTCCCACTGGGTCACATGCACTAGTGGGAAGACTAGGGTGCCCCGTGCTTCAGGCTGCAGGGTGCTGCCCGCAAGCCTTGTGAGCCCGCGGGAACTCCCTCCGGGCTTGCAAGGCTTGCGGATAGCTTCCTGAAGCCTGGAGAGCGAGAGGGGTCGGTGCGCACCTGCTTTTCAGCGAAAGCCTGCATTCGCCCCATAGGACGCACACACATTTCCCCTTCATTTTTGGGAATTTCATTTTAATTTGCTAGAACGTCTAACATCCTAACATTTAACATCTACCGTATTTTTCGCCCCATAGGACGCACACACATTTCCCCTTCATTTTTGGAGGGGAAAAGGTGCGTCCTATGGGGTGAAAAATACGGTAGATGTTAAATGTTAGGATGTTAGACGTTCTAGCAAATTAAGTATCATCT